TTCATTTTAACTGCTTTCATACTACTTTGGCAAAAAACAAAAAACAAACCGGCGTGCAGGGGTGGATGTGTGCAGAGCAGGCAGGCTCAGGCAGTCTTGTGGGCCTTCAAGCTGCAGCATGACCCACAAGAGCCTGGCAGAGTGCAGGATGTGCGGTCAGCTGCTGGGGGTGGGGATGGGCTGTTGGCAAGGAAGGGGACAGAAGCTTCAGTGGCTGCAGAGTCCCCTTGGGGCGAGAAGGTACTTACTATGAGCAGTCAGACGGAGGGAAACGCTGTGTGTCTGCTAACTGTATCCTTGAATGTAATATGGTCAAGGGAGAAGCCTCCTGGGCAGATGCTTTTTCATCCAGTGGCTTGGTCACCCTTCCCACCTATGTATACGAATGAGTCCTTCCGTGTTGGGGGTGTAGTGCTCTAACCATCTGGAGTACCAATTAGCTCCCTTTACCTCTTCCGTGTGCTACAGCTCTGCAGTTTCGGCGGGATAATTAGGAGTTAATTGAAGCCTCAATACTGCGGGTATGTCCAGTTATGTCCTTATGTGGGCACATCCTGGAAAAAAAAAAACAAAAGGTTTGTAATCAGTGTTTTCTCCTGCTAATATTGTGACAAGGACCCTGAGCGAGCTTGTCAAACTTCAAGGCTCCAATCCCTTTTTTTTTTTTTTTTTTTTTTTTTTTTTTGGTTTTTTTTCGAGACAGGGTTTCTCTGTGGCTTTGGAGGCTGTCCTGGAAACTCGCTCTGTAGACCAGGCTGGCCCCAACTCACAGAGATCTGCCTGCCTCTGCCTCCCGAGTGCTGGGATTAAAGGCGTGGGCCACCAACGCCCGACTAAGGCTCCAATCCCTTAAAGCTGTTAAAACAATAACTTTGTGTCTGATGGGCATAGTGGCTGTTATGAGCTTCCTTCTTAGCCTTGCAGTCTGGTGTTGAGCATTGAACTTCCCCTGGACTGAGAGTGAAGACCCATCCTGAAGGACTCTAGTAGACCCGAGTATGGCAAACTTGGCTGTGGCAGGCCTTGCCCTTCCCCCATTCCCTCTTATTTGCTAACCCTTAGATTACATTCCTAAAGCTAGCCACCAAGGGTCTACTCCCTTATCTGGCCACTTCTTCTTCCTGAGACTGACTACCAAGGTAGCTATCAAAGTATTGAAGTCCAGCAATCAAAAGCTCACTTTTTTTAAAGATTTATTTTATTTATTTATTATGAATGCAAAATCTTGCCTCCATGTATGTCTGCACGCCAGAAGAGGGCACCAGATCTCATTACGGATGGTTGTGAGCCAGCATGTGGTTGATGGGAATTGAACTCACGACCTCTGGAGGAGCAGACAGTGCTCTTAACCTCTGAACCATCTCTCCAGCCCACCCACTTCTTCTTCTTCTTCTTTTTTTTATTTTTTATTTTTTTGGTGTTTTCGAGACAGGGTTTCTCTGAGGCTGTCCTAGAACTAGCTCTTGTACACCAGGATGGTCTTGAACTCACAGAGATCCGCCTGTCTCTGCCTCCGGAGTGCTGGGATTAAAGGCGTGTGTTACCACCACCTGGGCAAAAGCCCACTTTTACTTACCCTAATTAACATGCACAATCAAAACAAGCCAACTCATCCTAACATGGAGTTTCCCCTTTTACCTTTATTTTTCTTTATTTTTTTTAATATTTTCTTTTCTTTTTTTGTAAGCATTGGTGTTTTGTCTGCATTTATGTCCTTGTGAGGGTGTCGGGTACCCTGAAACTGAGGTTACAGACAGCTGTGAGCTGCCATGTGGGTGCTGGGAATTGAACCCACTTCCTCTGGAAGAGCAACCAGTGCTCTTAACCACTGAGCCATCTCTCCAGTCCCCCCCCCCTTACCTTTATAAACTGCCGTTTGCCTATGGGCCACGACTGTCTCCTCTCTATCCAGAGATAGCCCTGTGTCCCTCCAGGATAGATATCCTTTTCCCTCCCCCATGGCCCCTCCTCCTCTTTGTCTCTTATTCCCTGCCCTTTGTCCACTGGGGCAAATAAATCTCCTTTGTGCTGAGCACTTGGCCTTGGGTGTCTTTTGCTAATACTGATCCTTTCACATCCTGAACACCTAAGATATAAGAAAGGGAGAGCTGTGGAGAGTGGAGAAAGCCCTGAGTAAACATGGCGGATATGGACACAGCCATATCAAGACCCAGAGGCCTAACCCCAAGGATGAAGCCCAGGATGGCAAAGTTTTCTCTTCTAGACCATGTTCGTAGAAGCCATAATAACTTTTTCTTGGAGGGTATTTATGGCCTGAAGATGCTGAGACCTCCCCTCTGAAGATTAGCTAACCTGCCTCATGGATTTAGCTGTGCAGTGTAAATCCACCTCCATGTTTGTCTGTATGCGATTGCCCTGCCTCCTTGTCCAGTTGTATACAGTAACCCCACCTCTCTATTCAGCTCTCTATAATGAACTCCCTGAGCTTCCAGAGTGCTGTGGACCCTCCATCTGAGAAACCATCTGATCCCTGTATTTCTGTGTATCTGTCTGTGTTTGTCTTTTTTCATTCCCTGGCTGCTCCTATTTCAAGTCCATCCCTGGAGCCATGTAAGGATGCACCGTATCAAGACTTAAAGTTAAAATTAATGCTGGGCAGTGGTGGCTCACACCTTTAATCCCACCACTCAGGAGCCAGAGGCAGGCAGATCTCTATAAGTTCAAGGACAGCCTGGTCTACAGAGCTAGTTCCAAGATAGCCAGGACTGTTATATAGGGAAACCTTGTCTCAGAAAAACAGAAGGAGAAGGAGGAGGAGGTCGTTCCTAGCCTGGCTCTGAATGACCATGATGTATTTTAATACCTCCTAATTCTTTGTATGGTCCAGGCATACCTATCACAGTGTGTTATAAACTAGTTGCAATCTCCATTGTCTTCCCTTATGCTGTTGGAGAATGCTCCCTTAAATTTGCATTGTAACACATGGCTTAGGCCACAGAAACATATTCCTAAATTAACAAACTCAGTTCTCTCCATCAGTACCACTTGGAACTACCTGCAGCCAGATAGGTATACTGCCTTTTTTGTGGGGGGGTGAGGGGGACTTACCCATCCTCTATCCTCCATAATGCACAATGCTGATGACATTGGATGTGTGTGACTGACAGCTCAGTAGTCACATGTACTCATAGCCCATGTGAGGACACCGCAGATGCACCAGGTTGCAAAGGGAACCAGAAGGCATGTGGGAAGCAGGCTTAGTGGTGACTAGGATGTAATATACCTCCAGTTTCCCACAAAAAGATGTGGCAAGTTATAAAGAAAACCCCAAAAATGAGATAGGCAAGTCTGAGCATAGCTGGCCAAAGAGAAGCCTTTCCTCCTGGGTGAGCCATTTCTGTCAAGAGAAGTCAAGGGCCATGTGTGACCCAAATATCGTGGCAGCAGTTGAATTTTTACATCCCACAGCATAGAGGGAACCTTAGAGCCATTCATTAGAGGGTGTATGATGTCCAGGATTGGGAAATAGATCAGTGGGTAAAGTGCTTGCTGTGCAAAAATGTGGATCTGAGTTCAGATTCCGATCACCTGTACAAAAAGCAAGGCATGGGGCAGAGATGGGCAGATTGGGGGTGGGAGAAGTTTACAGGTCAGCCAGATATCCAAGATAAATAGGCAACAGACAGACTGTAAGGCAACTCATGGACATAGAATAGAATAAAGGCAGGGCAGTGGTGGTGCACGCCTTTAATCCCAGCACTCGGGAGGCAGAGGCAGGCAGATCTCTGTGAGTTTGAGGCCAGCCTGGTCTACAGAGCAAGTGCCAAGACAGCCTCCAAAGCTACAGAGAAACCCTGTCTCAAAACAAACAAACAAAGAATAAAAATAAAATAGAAAGGTCAGATATGTTCATTTATGTCCAGGAGCTGGCCTACATTCCTCCTCCCCTGCCTTTGGACTCCTATGCTTTCCATATCCAGGGTCTCTGAAAGCCTTTGACTCAGTCCAAGGAACCATGGGCTTGCTTGGTTATGAAGTTTTGGGGACTTGACCTAAGTCAAGCACTCAAGGTTCTCCAGCATACAGACAGTTTGCCATGGGACTTCAGTCTCCATTACCCACAAGAGGCAATGCTCATAAACCCCATTACGCATTACGTCTCCCCACCATTGCACCCCGTTGTTCTCTCTGGAAAACTCCAACTAACATACATCTAAAAGGACATATGAAGCCCAACATCATTTCTTTTCTTTTTCTTTTTCTTTTTTTTTTCAAGACAGGGTTTCTCTGTGGCTTTGGAGGCTGTCCTGGAACTAGCTCTTGTAGACCAGGCTGGCCTCGAACTCACAGAGATCTGCCTGCCTCTGCCTCCCAAGTGCTGGGACTAAAGGTGTGCGCCACCAACGCCCGGCCCATCATTTCTTTTCAAGATGCTGTTTCTCTGTGTCTGTGTAACCCTGGCTGTCCTGGTACTTGCTCTGTAGACTAGACTGGCCTCAAACTCAGTGATCCTCCTGCCTTTCCCTCTTGAGCAGTAGAACTAAAGGTGCATGCCATCATGCCCAGTAATGAAGGCTAACATGTTATACATGACTAGAATCCCACCATGCAAGAGGCATTATCACCTGGGCTACTGGAACATACAACACTTCAACATAACATGATCTCATCTCCTTGCCGTCTCTCTCCAGGGATAAGTGCCTGAGTGGTGGGGTGGAGGTGTCTTTGGCCACGCCCAGAAACCAGCTTAAAGCTCTTTTCTTCAGGCTCCTTCCTCATCCTCTTTTCCTAAAACCTGGGCCTTTATGACTCCACGAAAGCTGTGTTCTGTGCTGATTCCAGAGACTTCTGAGGAGTGAGCTGCCTCTTGTCTCCTGTGTGCCACTTGGGGTCGTAAGTCTTATAGAAACCGATGGTTTGAGTGAAAGGCTGTCATTCATTCCTGAAGCACTGTCAAATAACAGATGAATACCTCTGAGTGAGGCTCACCTATGAGCACCCACCACACACTGGGCTCTTGGAAGCATGCCCACTCGTCTGCGTTCTCTGGTGTCCTAGCAACCAGAAACTCAGATATGAGCTCTGACAAGGAGAGAGGCCATTCCTTGCTGATATGAGTCACTTGCCACCCTGAGCCTCTTGGGACCTGTCTGTGTAGCAGTTCAAATAACTGAAGGCCACCACTTGTCCCCAAGGACACCCAGAAGCCTTGCTACATCAACCCATCCCCTGACAGGATGAGTTTTTCGGTTACGTTCTCGGAGTTGGCCAACATAGCCATACCACAGTGTGGGGTGGTGAACTTCAAGGCCCTTCATCTCCTGATCCAGGGCATCCTGGACCACATCCAAATCGCTGGGCTCAAAAAAGTCCTTTCAGGAGAAGAGGATTTCCTTCAGACCTCACAGGTGGTGCTCATGCCCAGGGAGGGAGAAGCCCAGCCCATCATCAACCCCATGAAGAGGCTCAGCAACGTCTTCGACCACTTGGTAGACCGCATCAACAAGATAGAGGGTCAAATGTCTTCGATGCAGAGCATTCCCTCTACCACGCAGCTGCTGGAGGCCAGCCACGGGGCCAACCGGCCTGCTGAGGAAATGTGGACTACGATCAAGCTCCTCAAGAGGGTGGAGGGCATCGAGGAAGCCATAGCAAAGGTAAGCTCCCACCTGGAGAAGTGCCCTAGACCCTGCCTCTCCTCCAAGACTGCCTGTCCCCTCTCTCCTTACGATGGGATATATCCACTTATGGAGAGAGTGTAGGTGAGAGAGAGCTTGGGAGTCAGACAGAAGCCAAGATCCTTAGGCGTGTACGGAGGAGAGAAGACATACACAGCAGACAGCATAATACAGGGTTTCACTATTGTGAAATATCCAAAATAGGCAAACACATATACCCAGAAGGGTGAGGGGCAGTTTCCAGGAGCCACAGGGCCTGGTAACTTGGTGGTTACAGGGTTTCATTTTTGGATGATGGAGATGTTTGAAACTCCATCTGAATGATGGATGTTGAACTTTATCCATGAAGTCAGAACCACTGAATTGTTTAATTAAATTGGCTGATTTGGACTGCGGAGATGACTTGATGTGTAAAATGCTTGCTGTATAAACATGAGGCTGATTTCAGATCTCCTGAACCCAGGTAAAAGACAGACACAATAGCCTGTTGCTGTAATGTCGGTTCTCTTTAAAATCCTCCCTCTCCCTCCCTCTCCCTGTCTCCTTCCCTCTCCCTCCCTCTCCTCCCTGTATATGTGTATGACTGATTGTGCGTTTGTTTGTGTACACATGTGTAAAGGTACCCTTGGAGAAGAGAAGTTGTCAGATTCCCCTAGTGCTGGGAACTGAATGTAGGACCTCTGTAAAAATAGTAAAAGCTCTGAATTGCTGAGATATCTTTCTAGGCCCAATTCCAATTCAATTACAGTGAGTTGGGAGGAAGAACAAGGAAAATTCTCAGAAATCAAGGGCCAGCTATCCTGTCACACAGAGCCTCAAACCACGTAGTAGAAGAGGCACCACCTGAGGATGAACTTTGATCCCATATTCACAGCAGGTGTGTACCCAAACTTACACACCGTCATATAAAACACACAAAGATTTTTTTGTTTGTTTTTAGTTTTTGGTTTTTTTTTTGAAACAGCATTACTCTGTGCAGCCTTGGCTGTCTTAGAACTCGATTTGTAAACCAGGCTGGCCTCGAACTCACAGCGATCCACCTGCCTCTGCTTCCCAAGTGCTGAGATTAAAAGCAAGTGCCATCACTGCCCAGCCCAGCTCCATTTCCTCCCTTCCCCTCTGTTCCCTGTCCAGGAAAACTGAATGCTACACACTTTGCCTCTGTTGCACCTTTAAGCTCTGTAATAACTATGAAGCATGTGCTTATTAATTCTAGTTTTCAGATGGAGAAGATCAGATTTGTTAAGCTTCAAGCCAGCATTGCTGGAGACGAGGCTGTCCCTGATGGCCTGGCCTGGGGCAGGACAGGTAGACACAGACGTCAGAAGTACTAGCCACAGCCTGCCTCCATGGTCTTTGGCCTTGGTGAATAAAGGCTTCTAGAAGTCTCAAGTGCCCTGAGTAGCTGAGCAAGATCACCTGTCCAGCTCTAGAGAGGTCTTGTGGACAGGTTCTGAACCCTTCAGAGGACTGTTTGTACCGATGAGGAAGGTCCTAGCCTGACTGAAGTTGCCTAAGGTTACCACAGTGATCCACTAAAAGAAGTTGCCGTGGTAACCGGTGCAAGAACAGTGAAAGCTGCTTAGTTTCGCTAAGTGTGTGCGCGCACCAGTGAGGATGGCAGGCGGGACATCACAGACATGCTGAGGGTTGAGGACTGCTGCCACTGCACCCTCCCATGCCCTTTCTCTGAGTTGGTTGGGTGCTGTCACCCTTAGTAATCACCCCTTAAAGGGGACAAGAACAGACTGTGGCTCTCAGTACCCACTCCAAACAAAGCAAATGGTGCCTGGGAAACTAACACAGACTCCATGGGGGAAGAGACAAGAGGTGGTGGGGGAGCTTTTACAAGGTCTGTGCTATTGGTCAGCACGTTTGTCCTACAACAAATCATTATTAAGCAGGGTTAGCATGTAGGGCTTCTGTACCCCAGTGCTATAAACATTGTGAGTGGGATTACTCTGTGGCTTGGAGCTGTCCTGTGCATCGAAGGATGCTAAGTGACACCCGTAGTCACCAGAACTACCACTTGCTCATAGCAACTGAAAACACCTCAGACACTGGCAGGTGCCCACTGACCCAGGTGAGGGCTGTTGGATTAGAAAACCTGGGTTTTTTTGAGGGGGGGTGGCACACACCTTTCATTCCAGCACTTGGAGGCAGAGGCAAGTAGATCTCTGTGTGTTCGAAGCAAGCCTGATCTACAGAGTGAGTTCCAGGACAGCTGAGATTAACCCCCCAAAAAAAAAAGGAAGGAAGGAAGGAAAGAAGGAAGGAAGGAAGGGAAGGGAAGGGAAGGGAAGAAGGGAAGGAGGGAGGGAAGGAAAGAAAAAGAAAGAAAGAGAGAAAGAAAGGAAAGGAAAAGGAAAAAACCTGAGCTCCAGGCTGGGTGTGAGTAACATGCCTGTAACCAGAGAACTGGGGAGGCAGAAGGATTACCTCAAGATCACCTCAACTTCAAGGTCAATTTGGTCTACATATCAGGCTCCAGGACAGCTGTAGCTAGATTGCCAGACCCCTGTCTCAGGAAGAGAGAGAGTAAGGAAAAAAGAGATGAAGGGAGAGGGGGAGGGAAGAAAAGAAGAGAAAAAGGAAGAAGAAAATCAATTTTCCATGGCAGCCTCAGCCGTCCTTCCCAGATAGCCCCACAGTCTGTCGCCAGCCAAACCAGCCAGAGCAATTACCACTGCGACCCATGCCCTAGCGCCCTCTAGCGGGACTCCCAAAATTGCAGACCCCTCCCTGACACTCCAACAAACCCCGCATCCCACCCCACCCCACCCCCGCTCCGCCCCCAGATTCCTCATCTCCCTGGAAAGTTGCCTTAGTTGGTCCCTGTCTGTTTGAAACTTTGGTTTTCTTAGATAACGAGTGACTCTGCCACCTGACTTCATAGGAGAAAAGAAAGAATGACAAAACTCTTTGTTACTAAGATTGTTCCAGCTGAGATTAAAACTATGGTTGGTGCACGATCCTCCTGAGACAGGAGTTTAAGGCCAACCTGGTCTACAGGGTGAGTTCCAGGACAGCCAGGGCTATGTAGAGAAAACGTCTCAAAAAAAAAAAGTTTGTTCCCCTCCCTAGCATCCTCTCCCCAACGAAAGCACACCTGTTATATATTGTGTAAATTAAAATGACTTTACAGTTAACTTGAATTTGGGTTGTATAACATTGCTTACAGGTGTTGGTTTTAGAGAACGGGTTGGAGCTGTTGTGGGAATATTAACAAACTCTTTGAACTCTGTTGTCACCCTTCACACAGTGTTGTGAAGTACTTTTCTGTTATTCAGTTTCCTTTGGAGGGAGTGTCATTCCCATTTTTCACAACTCTGGATATGGCTGTGTCAGCCTGTGTGTACTTTGGAGGCTCTTGGTGTACCTCTTAAAAGGAGAGGGAACAGTCACAGTTTGGGCAAGCCCAGTTTCTAGTCCAGTCTGCTTAGCTTCTGGAAAAGGCTGTGGCCCCTCCTCTCCTAGATACAGGGCAAGTCCCAGGCAAGGGAGGCAGCAGCCTGGGTCACTGAATAGACACTCAGACAGGAAAAGAACCCTACTTTCACGTGCAGCCTTCATTTATGGGATAGCCCAAAAATTCCTCCATTTTTTTTCAGATTTTTTTTGTTTTTTTGGGGGGAGGGGTGCTTATTGTTTGTTTTTGAGATACAGCTAAGGTTGGTCTTGAACTTACTATGTAGTCAAGGATGACCTTAATCTCCTGATCCCCCTGCCTCCCGGTGCTGGGATTTCAGGTGTGGCCCTACCTGGCACTTAGCTGTGTTTGTGAGGGGAGGTTATTCCTGCTAGGGTGTTTGGTCATCGAGTGTCTTGAAGGGGGGCAGAAGAGAGGGATTACCAATAGACAATGGGCTCTACTTATCCCACAGAGGTCTCGCTGAAGAACACATCCCACCACAGCAGATGAGGGCTTAAAACTCATCTGATCACATCTTGTCATTTTCAACAGAGTTGGCAGTAACTCTTTGGTTTTGTTTTTTGTTTTTTGTTTTTTGTTTTTTTTGAGACAGGGTTTCAGGGTTTCTCTTTGTAGGGCTAGCTGTCCTGGAACTCTCTGTAGACGAGGCTGGCCTAGAACTCAGAACTCAGAGATTCACCTGCCTTTGCCTCCAGAATGCTGAGATTAAAGATGTGCACTACCACTAGCAGTAACTCTTTTTTTTTTTTTTTTTTTTTTTTTTTTTGGTTTTTCAAGACAGGGTTTCTCTGTGGCTTTGGATGCTGTCCTGGAACTCGCTCTGTAGACCAGGCTGGCCTCGAACTCACAGAGATCCGCCTGCCTCTGCCTCCCGAGTGCTGGGATTAAAGGCGTGCCCCACCAACGCCCGGCTAGCAGTAACTCTTAACAGTATAATAGAGTATGTTGAGATGTTTCTAAAATAAAAATGCTGGAAAATCACTGGGCATTGTGGCGCACACCTTTAATCCAAGCACTCAGGAGGCAGAGGCAGGTGGATCTCTGTGAGTTCAAGGCCAGCCTAGTCTGTATACAGCATGATTTCCAGGACAGTTAGAGCTAAACAGTGAGACCCTGTCATCAAAACAAAACAAAATAAAAATAATAATGCTGGAATTTTACTACTTTGTTAAGATATTTCCCATGAACTGAGAATTCACATATTAAAGTGTATGTAGTTTAGCTATGAGTGGGGTGGGATAAAGAAGGCATTTTTGTATTCCATCTCCTAGGACAGCTATGAGTAGGTTAGGATACACAGTTACTGGCTTGCTTGTCTTGAGCTGGCTCTCCAGTCTAGAAGGGGCTTGGAGGAACACAAGGATGGCACTAGCAGACAGACTAGATTTAGTTTCCAGAAAATGGAAGTTCAAGGAACGGTAACAGCAGAGACACAAGCATCACAGGTCTGATGAACTAACCAGAGGGGCAAGGTGGCTGCCTTTGTCCCTCCTTATGCAGCCTACTGGCTAGAGACGAGGTGAGAGGCAGCTTCTTTAGGGCATTAAATCACCGGCTCTACAAAGCATAACTCACAGATTCAATTCTTGTCTCTGCTCATTGGCATTTGTGGTGATGAGTAGTGCAAACTCCAGTATTCTAATATTAATTATGCTGAATTATTCACAGAATCGTGTGACTCTCGGGATCTAATTTTAGTATATTATCAAGAGCCCCTGAAGAAATCCCTTAATGATTGGCAGTCACACCCCACACCTGCCCCTTGAGCTCCCAGTGTTTTATTTTATCAAAAGGTTTATCAGATTAACCTCTGTGCATTTACTAGTACTTTGTTATTTTATGGTCAAGTAATATTGTGTTTCTATACATATGCTACATTTAATTTATCAACTGATGGACATTTAAGCTCTTTTGATTTGGTTTTTCGAGACAGGGTTTCTGCATGGCTTTGAAGGCTGTCCTGGAACTAGCTCTTATAGACTAGGCTGGTCTCCAACTCACAGAGATCCGCCTGCCTCTGCCTCCCGAGTGCTGGGATTAAAGGCGCGCACCACTACCGCCTGGCCCGGCTGACTTTTGAGTTCTTATTATTTTGGGCCAGTATGGCTAGTGCTGTTATGAACATTGATGCACAAGTGTCTGTAGGCTCTTTGGGAAGAGCTAGTTTTAGCTGGGTGTGGTGGTGCACACCTCTAATCCCAATACTCATAGGCATAGGCAAGCAGATCTCCATGAGTTTGAGGCCAACTTGGTTTACACATTGAGTTCCAGGACAGCCAGGGCCACAAAGAAAGACTCTGTCTCCAAAACACATTTATTTTTATTCTTGTATGCATTTTGTGTTTGTGTGTATGTGCAAGTGAGTCCATTTGCCTTTAGAGGCCAGAAGAGGGCGTTAGAACCTCTGGAGTTTGTAGCAGGCTTTCTTTGTGCTACTAACCAGCTCCCAAATCATGACACAGAGACTTCTTATTAGTTATGAATGCTCAGTCTAGGTTAGGCTCATTTCTGGCTAGTTCTTTTAACTTAATCTATCTCTTTTTATCTACTTTTGCCTCAGGGCTTTTTACCTTTCCTTTCCTTCTGTGTATCTTACTTTCACTGCTTCTCATGTCTGTCTGGTGGCTGCCTGGTCCCAGGAGTCTCCCTTTCTTCCTCCCTAGTTCTCTTTTTCTCTCTGGAGCCTAGATTCTTCTTTCTCCTTATTCACTCTGCCCACCAGCCCCACCTATTCTTCTACTGCCTAGCTATTGGCTGTTCAGGTTTTTTTTTTTTTTTTTTGGTTTTTTTTGAGACAGGGTTTCTCTGTGGCTTTGGAGGCTGTCCTGGAACTCCCCTTGGTAGTCCAGGCTGGTCTCGAACTTACGGAGATCCGTCTGCCTCTGCCTCCCGAGTGCTGGGATTAAGGCTGTTCAGTTTTTAATTAGACCAATCAAGTGCCTTAGGCAGGCAAGGTAAAACAACACATCTTTACATAATTAAACAAATGCAGCATAAACAGATGTAATATATCGTTACCCAGTTAAAATAATATTCCACAGCAGGGCAGGGTGTTGGTGGCGCATGCCTTTAATCCCAGCCCTCGGGAAGCAGAGGCAGGCTGATCTCTGTGAGTTCGAGGCCAGGCTGGTTTACAGAGCGAGTTCCTGGACAGCCTCCAAAACAATACAGAGAAACCCTGTATCGAAAAACAAAAAAACAAACAAAAAAATTCCACAGCAGGAGTTGTTTGGGTGCTGGGAATTAAACTCAGTCAATAGGCCATTTTAAATTAAATAAATAAATAAATAAATAAATAAATATGCAAATCTAGTCCCATCTCCCTTGCTTATGATCTTCCAAGGGCTCCCACATGGGGGCTGCTTGTGCTGCTTCTCTCAAGAGCCATCATGGCCAATATGCAACATACACACAAAGCCCAAGATGAAGAACTCTCCTATCCAGGCTGCCTGGAGTTCGAAGCATTGCTGTTGTCTTAGTGTCCTTTGCTGGTCTGTGGGTACATCTTAAGCCTTTGGAGAACCAAGAGGATCCCTTAGATGACTGTCACCAAGAGCTTCTTATGTGGTTTATTCCTGTCACACCTGATTCCAGGATTTCCCCCCTTTTCTCCCTGTTCAGTTTATGAGGACCCTGCAGGATTTGCTCAATGACCTCCATGTACTCAAGTACACTGTTGAAACCCTCCAGAAGGATGTGGACCTGATGAAGTATATATTTGAAAAGGTACCATCCCGCTGTCCTTATCCTCTACTGGGCAGGCTGGTTAGACCTCCAGGGACTCCGGTAGTAAGGAAAATTCCAGAGGGCCTGTTGGAGAGTGTGACCATAAAGGGAAGAGAAGGGCTTCACCCGCCCTAGTCATTTGTCCTGTCCCTTGAACTTCCTGTAGTCCCTCTACACTCCTCACTCTGCTCCCTTAAACATCAGTTATCAGTAACAGAGACCCAGTTCATCTCGACTTAGGAAAAATAATAGAATTTATTGTCTTACTTTCTCAATTGCTTAAAACGTTTTTTTTTTAATTTTATGTGCATGGGTGTTTTGTCTCCCTGCATGTCTGTGCACCATGTGTGAGGCCAGAAGAAGGTGTCAGATCCTCTAGAACTGGAGATACAGATGGTTGTGAGCTACTATGTAAGTGCTGGGAAGTTTAGGGTTGTCCAAGAGTTGGCAACTTTAGAATTCAGTGTCCCCAGCTTTCCTCTCATTGGAAGCACTATCCACACTTAAAGGCAAGAAAGACCCAGACTAGACACACAAGCTATTACATAACTCCATGTCATCAGCCTGGACACAGCCTAGCCAACACAGACACACAAGCTATTACATAACCAGCCTAAACACAGTCTAACCAACCATGGAATGTTGGAGCAGGAGGAGCAGCCTCCGGACGACAGCAGACAAGATCAAGCTGAAGTCAGGAGCCAGGTGTTCACCTCCAGGCCAGCAAAGTGGCTGAGATTGAGCCATTTACCCCAAAGAGTGTGGTTTAATTTAACATTTGAGTCTCAGGCTGGTCTGGGGATGGGTCAGGAAGCAGGACCATAAAACACTAGTATCTTAGTTTGGGTGATGAAACGCCATGACCAAAAAGAAAGTCAGAGGAAAGAGTTTATTAGGCTTACAATTCCACATTGCAGACAGAAACTCAAACAAGGCAGGATCCCGGAGGCAGATGCTGATGCCGGAGGCCATGGAGGGATGCTGCTTACTGGCTTGCTTCCCATGGCTTGCTTAACCCACCTTCTTATAGAATGCAGGACCATCAGCGCAGGGATGACCACCATGCACCATGGACTGGGCACCCCCACATTGATCACTAATTGAGAAGATTTTTACAGCTGGATCTCAAGGAGGCATTTCCTCAGCTGAGGCTCCTTCCTCTGATGACTCCAGCTTGATTCAAGTTGACACACAAAACCAGGCAATACAGCTAGAAAGGACACCTTGGGGGCAAGTCTGTCTGCGAGACATCTTTTGCAGATTTGTTGTTCTGTTCCATCTTCATGTACTCTGTTAACAGGTCTCTAGCAGTCCAACCTGGCCTCCAGACAGATAGGTGGTAGAGAATGACTTAGGTCTTCTAGCCGTCCTGCTCCCCAGCACAGTGCTAGAATCACAGGCATGCACAATCACTCCTAGTTTTAGGCAGCACCGGGGATAAACCTTGGGTCTCATATATGCTTGACAAGTACTTTTTACCAACTGAGCTACATTGCTAATTCTCCTCTTGAAGATTCTTGTTTGGCTGGTTGTTTTTTTGTTTTTGGAGACAGGGTTTCTCTGTATTGCTTTGGTGCCTGTTCTGGCACTCACTCTGTAGACTGGGCTGGCCTTGAACTCACAGAGATCCACCTGCTTCTACCTCCTGAGTGGGATGAAAGGCGTGGGCCACCTTTATGTTCTATCTATTCAATGTTCTGAAAAACTCAGATATTGTTGAATGTTTTTTAGCCCATCACTTCCCAAACTTTTTTTTTTTTAATCTATGGAACCCTTTTTCTTTCCTGGGAAATTCTATTCATCTATTCCAAACTCAGTCATCTAATGTGGTGAGAAGCAGCCAGGCTGGGACCAGAACCTGTACCCCCGCCTCAGATTAGGCTTCCTGGACAGGTAAACCCAGAAAGAATGGAGCTTGTCTGTGAAGACTTGAAAATACAGAACCGGAAGTTGGGTGCCCTGCAGCGGGAAGTGGTGAGATCCTGGAATTCTGGTGTCTTGCCCTGGGCACTGGGGGCTGGGATGGGTATGGAGAGTAGTGTAGTCTGGAAAGAGTTTCAGTGAGCAATAAGAAGTAGCCATACCCATGCTATCAACAACCCCCCCCCCAGCCGTACCCTAGTTCACACTCATTCTCCATCCTACTGCACAGGTTACCCTCCAAAACAAGGTTCATGCTGTCCCCCAACCTGAAGACATGGTGCTCTGGAGTAGCCTCCATGAGGCCATGTTCACTCCGGTGAGTAGAGGAGGGGGAGTGGAAGAAGGGGGTCATGAGACCAGACAGTCAGCTGGTCCCCTTCCTTGCAGGGATCTAAGGAGGAACTGGATCCGTCCAACATGTGGCAGAGCATGACGTCTTTTCCAGAGTCTACTGTGGAGCAGTTTGAGGATGAAGGCCACACTCATATCTCACACCCCTCGCACAGTACCCTCATGCCTTTGGAAGCCACAGGAGTCCTTGAGGAGGCCGCTGAGTTTAGTGGCCCCCAGGGGCTAGGGCAGGCTCAGGTCTCTATGACTGAGTCTGTCCCTCGCCTTGCATTTGCGCCTGGGCATGTACCAGGGCCTAGTGGGAGGCCTGGTTTCATCCCAGCCTCCTGGCCTAGACCTGGACTGGCTATCCCGGGTGCATGGCCCTTACCACCAAGAGGCTGGCCTATGGCTTGGCCTATTTGGGATACGGGTATTGTCCAGCCTAGCCTAGGTCCATTTGGCCCTCCAGGCCAGATGTACAGGGCCCCTTTCCCAGTCATGGAAGCTAGACCACCATGGCTTCAGCCGCAACACCATGTTCCTCAAATGGGAACCCAGCTCCCAAATCTTGAAGAAAGAGAGGAAGAATATGAATATGAATATGAGTTTATAGAAGAGATCCCTAAGGATGGGGCACCCCAGGATGGGATTCCTAAGGAAGAGGCTCCCCAGGATGGGATTCCCAAAAAAGAGGCTCCCCAGGGTGGGATTCCACAAAAAGAGGCTCCCCAGGATGGGATTCCTAAGGAAGAGGCTCCCCAGGATGGAGTTCCCAAGGAAGAGGCTCCCCAGGATGGGATTCCCAAGGAAAAGGCTCCCCAGGATAGGATTCCCAAGGAAAAGGCTCCCCAGGATAGGATTCCCAAGGAAAAGGCCCCCCAGGATAGGATTCCCAAGGAAAAGGCTCCCCAGGATAGGATTCCCAAGGAAAAGGCTCCCCAGGATAGGATTCCCAAGGAAAAGGCTCCCCAGGATAGGATTCCCAAGGAAAAGGCTCCCCAGGATGGGGTTCCCAAGGAAGAGGCTCCCCAGGATGGAGTTCCCAAGGATAGGATGCCCCACCACAGAGCCCCCAAGGATGGATCTCCCAAGCACAGAGCTCCCAAAGATGGATCCCCCCAAGACAGATCCCCAAAAGATGAGGGTTCCCAAGACAGCACTCCCAAGGACATAGTCCACAAAGATAGGGCACGGAAGGACAAGACCCAAGCAGCACACTCAAAGGGCTCTCACTTGTCCCTAAAGAAGCTGAGGTCTGCTGTTGCAATAGCTGCAGCAACTGCTGCAGCTTATGCAGCTGCAGCAAACACAGCAGCCCAGGCAGCCAAAGCTGCTGCCAAGGCAATCAAAGATGTTCCTTCAACCAAAATGGCTTCTTTAGCCTCAATCGTGGCGGCGGCTGGGCCTTTGGGGGCCTATGCAGATTCCCTGGGTGCAGGAGCTAGCCATGGGGCCACCAATGTCATACCCTTCAGTGATGATGAGCTGGAAGACTTCCCTGAAGACCGGACACCAGTCACTCGCCCCGTCACACCCAAATCAGCTCTGTCCCAGGCTATGATAACTGCCATGCAGGCTGTGAGTCCTGAAGAGAAGAAGAAGGCTGTCCAGTACTCCATGAGCCATATAGCCCAGATGCCTGTCAGGCATGATTCCCTCAAAGAGGAGTTTTCTCATTTGTCAACCAGCCTGCACCAGCGCTTAAATTATCTAGGTAGTCCTGGCTAACCCTGGCAGAGGCTCAGGCCCTCCCTGTGGACTGGCTCCTTAGGCTTCCTCAACAAGATCTGCATTCAAATACTAGCCACCTGTTCCTTTGACTTAAGCACTAACCTCTTAATACTCTACTCTTTTTATCTTGAACTTTTCTTCTTCCTGCTTCCATTTGCTGAGTGTTGGGATTACAAGTATACAGCACCACACTTAGCTTTTTTTTTTTTTAAGACATATCTCTGGCTGTCCTGGAACTCACTATGTAGATCAGTCTAACTTTGAACTCACAGAGATCTACCTGCTTCTGTTTCCTAAGTGGTGGTAATTAAAAGCATGTACCACCATGTTTGGTTCATATGTTCTTTGTGAGTTTTTTAAAAAATTGTATCAGAGAGTCCCCCAGCCCAAGCTCACTGTATTTCTTTGGGACACCGAGCAAGCGTGTGAGCTCTCCTATCTTCCCTTTTAGCAGTCACTCTCTCTTTTTACTTCCAGCTAACATGGGAAGTGCTAGCAAGCTTGGTAATGCAGTGAGTGTGCTAGAGGAAAAGATTTGTAACCTCCAGAAGTCCAGGCTGCAGGTTAGTGTCGTGGCCAGAAGATGGTGCCTTGACTTGAGCTAGGGGCTGGCGCTTGACCGTCACCCTCCCAATCAAGCTGTTTATTGCTAGAAAGGGACCTGCGGAAGCGAGTGGGGTGGCACATCAGTTGCATGCATGCAGAGTCCATGGGCAGGTGGCTCTCCCTTTCGCTGTCAATAAGTATTTCGTGTGCTGGCAGAGGCCAAACTGGTGTGCATGGGCCTGGTATCTCTTCTTGATCTCAGTATCCTTCCATTTTGGCAACATCAGAAGCAGAGGCCTTGGATGTCATTGTCTCTCCCATTTAGGAAGAAGAACTCGAGAGAGTTTGGGGCCACCATATAGAGACGATGAAGAATCACTACATGGTGCTAGACAGGACAGTGGAAAAGCTCCAGATTCGCATGGATGACGTCAAGGTTCGGAGGTCTGAGGGCCAAGGGGGGAGCACTGGATTCCTCCCTGGGACCACGAGACCCTCCCCAAAGAGTTTATAAAAGAGTCCACTAAATGCAAGGGAAGCAGAGGACATTTTACTCTGCATAAATTACACTTCAATTAGCCAGAAGGTGATGGTACACGCCTTTAATCCCAGCACTTGGAGGTAGAAGCAGGTGGATCTCTGTGAGTTTGAACCAGCCTGGACAGCCAGGGCTAAACACAGAAACCGTCTCAAAAAACCAGCACTTGGGAGGCAGGCAGGTGGATCTCTGTGACTTCGAGACAAGCCTGGTCTACATGAGCGAGTTCCAGGATAGCCTCCAAAGCCACAGGGAAACCCTGTTTTGAAAAACCACAAAAAAGAGAGGGGGGGGGGGGGAGAAGAAAGAAAGGAAGGAAGGAAAGAAAGAATGAAAGGAAGGAAGGAAAGAAGGAAGGAAATGAAAAAAAATCTCAGGGTCTAGAGAGATGGTTCAGTGATTAAGGCTGCTTTTGCAGAGGACCTGGGTTTCATTCCCAGCGCCCACATGGCAGCTTAAAATTATCTGTAACTCCAGTTTCAGGGCATTCAATGCCCTCTTCTGGATTCCATTAGCACCAGGCATGTATGTGGTACCCATACAAACATGCAAGTAAAACATTCATATACATAAATCTTTTTTTTTTTTTTTTAGAAAATCCCCTACACATAAAGGACCTGGACAATGTCTATCCTTATAGGCCTTTGTGTTATCAACCTGAAGGTGGAAGAACAGATTTAAGGCTTAGTAACATCTGTCAAAGAAATCAGTATATGAATAAGTGGATTTCTCGTATCAGTAGCTCTATGTTCGTGACATTTCCCCTGAACCAGCTCTTCTTCCTGCAGAGTTAAGGATGGAGCTGGGTGTGTTGGGTGGCAGGTGCTTGCCACAGAGCCCTGAGTCCCACCTTCAGCACTGCTTGGACACAAGGACAGAAATAGAAGAAGGTTAACAAGTCCCCCTGGTCTCCATTTACATCCCAGTAGATACCAATACAGGGCAGGCTGTCGAGTGCAGTTCTCATCTTGGGTAGCTCAGTTGGTCGTTGTCCCTATGGTTGAGGGAGACCAGATGTGAAGACAGAAGAAGTCAGAGTTCATCTTGAGAGGAAAAGTGATTCTAGCCTCTGGGACAAGGGTGGCTCTTCCCAAGCAGGCAAGCTACTACTCCTGCCATTTAATTTTTAGTTTGTTGTTGCTTTTTTTTTCTGAGACAGGGTTTCTCTATGTAACAGCCTTGGATGTCCTGGAACTCTCTGTAGACCAGGCTGACCTTGAACTCACAGAGATCCTCCTGCCTCTGCTTCACAAATGCTGGGATTAAAGATGTGCACCACCACCGCCTGGCCTGGGGGTATTTATTAAGTGAAAACAGGCCAGCACTAATAGGGGATTTCATGAAATTATGTGACAGGAATTAAGGGTTTCCCTCTAATTCTTGTGCACTGCGTGGCCTGCTAATATCAGAGTACACTTGGACCCCACTGTAGATTAGATGAAGTGGACTGGCCTTAAGCATCTAGGGAACTAAATGGCCAGCTCCAGCTTCTCCAGTTTGTGCTTCCGTGGGTTGGCTTCTGGTGACACCATTTCCAAGTGTAAGTTTGTCCCTGGTCTCAGGTGGCTTTCTCTTCTGTCCCAGTTGCCCGTGAGCAGGAGCTCTAACCTGACCACCAGCTTCTTACCCACCTGGCCCAGTCCCCTTCCTAGCACATGGCAAAGTTGGAGGCACAAAACAGATGTCACCCTCAAGGCCACAATAAAGGCAGACCTGCCTGTGCTTTGTTCCTTCGTAGACCCTCAAGGCTGATATACAAAGGCTGGATCTGATTAAAGCAGATAAAACCACGATGGATCAGGAGCTGAGAGAAGTGAGTAAGCAGACAGTCCCCAGCCTCCCACCCCGTTAATCCTGTGCCTCTGATTTGCCCAATCAGGGACTGGAATCACCCAAGCAAAGACAGCAGCTAGCAATCCCTGCGTTCTTGCATTTCATTTAGGAAATCCAAGATTCCCTGTGCTCTTGGATTTCATTGAGGAAATCCAAGAGGCCTCAAAAGTTACCCACCCATGACTGGAAATTAGTGTCGATGTTTATTATTTTAAAAATCAGACCGGGGCAGTGGTGGTGCACGCCTTTAATGCCAGCACTCGGGAGGCAGAAGCAGGTGGATCTCTGTGAGTTCGAGGCCAGTCTGGACTACAGAGGGAGTTCCAAGACAGTCAGGGTTACCTAGTGAGATCCTGTCTCAAAAAACAAAATAAGAAAAAAAATCAGGCATCAGGTTGGGGATGGGTGTAGCTCAGTTGGCTGAGTGCCTTCCCAGTATGGAGAAAGCCCTGGATTCAATTCCCAGCACTGCATGAAATGGCATGAAGCCATAATCTCACCACTAGAAGCAGAAGAATCAGAAATTCAAGTTCATCCTTGACTATGGGGATACAAGGCCAGCCTGTATACCATGGTATACATGAGACTCTGTCTTAAAAAAATAAAGAAAATAAAAACTACATGTCAGCTTTCTGTTTGGTTCAGGCACCACCGCTGTATTTGAGCCAGTGCAGACACCACCACTGAACTGAAGCCAAGGCTACACATTCATGCCCTTCAATTAGAAAAGCTGACCCTAAGCTGGGCGGTGGGTGGTGGTGCACGCCTTTAATCCCAGAACTAATCCCAGAACTCGGGAGGCACAGGGGCTCAGGGGCAGAGAGGCAGAGAGGCAGAGGAAGGCAGATCTCTTTGAGTTCGAGACCAGCCTACTCTACAAGAGCGAGTTCCCGGATAGCCTCCAAAGCCACAGGGAAACCCTGTCTCGAAAAATAAAAAAAGTAAAACTGATCCCAGGGACCAGGGTTCCCCCGCCCCACCACCAGTCTTGCTGCCCTGAACCCCCTCTGCCTAGAAAGCTGACAGGGACGCCTTGGCAAGCAAGGCGAGCCGGACGGACCTGGAGGTGGTGGCCATGGAGCTGAATGAGATGGCTCAGAGCATGCTCCTGAAGGTCACAACCCACGAGAGCGAGTTGAAGAAGTCGCTGAAGCACCTCAGGAAGGATCTGAACACCAAGGTGAGCCTGCAGGAGGTAGCAACTGCTACCTAGCAAACTGCCCCAGAGCTTGGCAGCCTCAAAGAGCAAATGTTGATGGAGTTGAAGAGCAGGAACTTAGAAGCAGGTGTTTCAGAACCTGTGACTCCCAAGTCAGAGTGAATGTGTCATTCCCACTGTACCATCTGAATGAGCCATGTGAAGCCACTTCAAAGAGTGTACCCGAATGTGACTATTGGCAAAATGTTTCAATATCTCACATACTGACTTCTTAGGGCCACTTAAGGGGCCTCATAGCATGGCAGCCACTTGCGCGGGCGGGCATGCGTGCGCACCCATGCACGCACAGGCACACACACACACACACACACACACACACACACACACACACACGTGACCTAAGATAATAAGAAGAGTGTGCAATGTTTTTGCTGTTCAGTTATGGCAACCACTCCCATCATTCCCACATCAGCCTGTTGGTCATACAAGTTGGCCCTATTCTGTGCAAGAGGGAAAGAGTCCAGGGGAAAGAGTCCCAGACACATCTGAAGCCATGATGGAGGCTGACCTCCAGAAGTCTCAGGGTGATGCGAGCAAGCTAGCAGGTTGGAGTGGAGAAGGCTTTCTGCAGATAACACTAGGTCTGTCATTTGGTCATTCGTCACTCACTGACTACCTCAGTGTGCCTCACTTGAGGAGTGTGGACTGGGAGCCCCAGCCCTGCCTCCTTCTGCACAGTGTGCTACATGGCTCTTTTCTGTTTGCTTGTTTGTTTGTTTGTTTGTTTGTCGTGACAGGGTTTCTCTGTATTGTTTTGGAGCCTGCCCTGGCACTCAATCTGTAGACCTGGCTGGCCTCAAACTCACAGAGATCCGCCTGCCTCTGCCTACCAAGTGCTGGGATTAAAGGCGTGCGCCACCAACACCCAGTACTACCTGGCTCTTTTAACTGTGGTGGCAAGTTTAGAAATGGATGCTCTTGGTTTGAGTCTTAAACATGACTTCAGCTTTCCCAGCTGTAAGCTAGAGAGTTATTTATTCTCCGTTTATGCTCCTTGCTAGATAAGCAGTGAACCAAGCAGAAGGGGGCACTGTCTTTGTGGAGACAAGTTCCTCACAGAAAGATCACAAATCAGTGCAAAGCCACAACCCCTCAGCGTTCCCCAGAACAGCTGGCCTGTGTTTCTTTTGCTTCTGTGGAGCTGTGTCTAAAGCTGGACTGACAATTTGACCCGAGTAGGAATTATCACATAACTCACTGTACCCACGGAAGAGGATGGTGTGGTGCACAGCTGTAATCCCAGCACTCAGGAGGGTTGCTAGTTCAAGTACAGCTTGGGTACAGTGAGTCTGGAGGTCAGTTGAGGTGGTATAGCAAGACCCTGTCTTGTAGGGAGAAGGATAAGGGGTCCAGAATAGACAAATCCTAAGCACAGAGAGTGGGTTATTGGTTGGTTGCCAGGGGCTGGGGATTTGGGAGGAAACAAAGAAATGGAGTTTCTTTGGAGAGTAATGTAGATGTTCTAAAAAAGATTACAGCACCAAATATGGAGGTGTAAGGCTGCAATTTCAGCCCTTCCAATGCTGAGGCAGGAGATTGTGGCTTCCAGCCCACACTCAGCTACATGGTGAGGTACTGGCTCAAACAGAAGTAACAAATTGCCAGACGGTGGTGGCGCACGCCTTTAATCCCAGCACTTGGGAGGCAGAGGCAGGCAGATCTCTGAGTTTGAGGCCAGCGTGGTCTACAGAGTGAGTTTCAGGATAGCCAGGGCTATACAGAGAAACATTTCTTGAAAAACCAAAATAATAATAATAATAATAATAATAATAATAACAATAATAATAATAATAGCAATAATAATAATAAATTTGCCAGGCATAGTGCTGCATGCCTTTAATCCCGGAATTTAAGAGACAGAAGCAGATGGATTTGTGAGTCTGAGTTCTAGGACAGCCAGGGCTCTATAGAGAGACACTGCCCCTTAAAAATGTTTTTAAAAATTTAATTTGAAGCCAGGCGTTAATGGTGCATGCCTTTAATCCCAGCACTCTGGAGGCAGAGGCAGGTGGATCTCTGTGAGTTCGAGACCATCCTGGTCTACAGAGTGAGTTCCAGGACAGCCTCAAAAACATTACAGAGAAACCTTGTCTCGGAAAAAAAATAATAATTTGAATGTGATGATTATACAACTTTGGGAGTATACTAAAGAGATTGTCCAATTTATATGCAAACACTGGATAAATAGTTGTCAGATGTGTGAAAGTCAGGGTATAGGGTTCACTGGAGAAATATTTTTCCAGCCTCTAGCCATGCAGTTGAGCAGTAAATTTGGAGGCACGAGCTGGTGGCATTTCTTGCAATGGCTACTGGGAATCTCACTTTGCAAATTCCCTATGCCAATAGCACTCATAGAGGCATGAGCTGAATGGTTTTCCCTTTCCTGGGTCTCCACTAGATCCTCCTGCCTCTACCTCCCTACTGAGTGCTGGGATCAAAGGCGTGCACCACCACAGTGTAGCTAGCTGCTTTATCATCATCATCATCATCTTCTTCTTCTTCTTTTCCTTTTGTTTTTCAAGGCAAGATTTCTCTGTAGCTTTGGAGCCTACCCTGGCACTCGCTCCTGTAGACCAGGCTGGTCTTGAATTCACGTCGATCTGCCTACCTCTGCCTCCAGACTGCTGGAATTAAAGGCGTGCGCCACCACACCCCAGCTTTTATCTTATTCTTTGTGTGACTCCCTACCTGTTGTTGGGGTCAGCTAACTAACTGACAGGGCTTCTTTCTTCCTTGTGATTGGCAGCTAGTGCACAGTGATCTGAATAGCCTGAAGAAGGACATAGAAGAGGTCTGGAAGATAGTTCGAAAGCTTCTGATAGAAGGCCTGCGATTCGACCCCGACAGCGCTGCAGGCTTTAAGAAGTGAGGGTGCTTACACTGATACTCTTGCCAACAGAGAGATGCCCAGAATTCTAGACCTTGGCCACGTGGACAGGGGCAGGGGAAGGGTGGAAGGCAGCAGAGAGCCTCAGGCTTCTCTTTAGATGAACAAATTGAAGCTCAGAGAAGGAAAACCAGGATAGGCCCAAACAATTGGTGGGCCCAACTGCAGCCTGGGACCCCCAGGCAGGAAGATTTGCCATCAGCTTCTGTATACCTCCCTCCTGTCAGGGTGGCTTCACTAGTGGAGGAACTGATGTGATGTGCCAGTCCTGGGCCTGCATGGGGTGGGTAACCACAGCGCTGTCCCGGGGCCTCAGGCACTGACAAAGGGGTTTGCGGGACCTTAAATTCACCCCATCCCCAGCCCGGGGACCTGCTAACCCCTGACTACCTGACCTCCTCCTTGTCCTCCAGGAAACTGTTCGAGCGGGTGAAGTGCATCTCCTGTGACCGGCCTGTAGAGATGATGACTGGCCCGTGAGTACCGGGCCAGAAGGCGCTCTCCGGGTCTGTAGGGTCCACTCTGCAGACCACATACTCGAAGGCGCACACCTACCTAAATACTCATCCTTCCACACCATTCTACTGCCTCCATCGCCTGCCCCCCCTCAGTAGTTCCCCATATAGTGGAGCAGGTCTTCTCTCTCACCTTTATCACTCAGTCAGTGCTTAGTTCTGGAGACAGTCAGAGCCACAAAAAAGAAGAAGGACAGAGGGATCACTGAGGGACAGCAGGAATGTATTTCTGAGTTCCTTGATCTTTTGGGAGAGTCTTGCTATGTAGTCCAGGCTGGTCTCAGAATGTGCAATCCTCCTGTGTCACCGTCCTCAGTGATGGGATTTCAGGTGCACATCTTTAGTCCCAATCCTTGTCCTTACTTTGATACCATGTAAAGGGCGTGGTTCAGTGGCCTGTAACACTGCCACTGTTGCCTCTAGTTGATTCCAGGGCACTGCTTGTCCCCCAAAGGTGTCCCCAATTCCACCTTCCCATTACCACCTCACTGTAACCCAGGATGCCATTGGGTTTGTCTTTTCCAGATGTTTCCTGTAAATGGGACTGGTGTCTGGTTTCTTCACTGAGTTCAGTGAGATTCCTCCACTGTTACATTGTAGCAGAAACCAATGCTTCCCTCCACTGTTACAGCAGGATAATATTCCGTTGTCTGGGCAGAAAACCTTTTGTGTATCCATTCATCAGCTGATGGACTGCCCCCCCCCAGATAGGGTTTCTCTTTATTGTTTTGGAGCCTGTCCTGAAGCTCACTCACAGAGCTCTGCCTGCCTCTGCCTCCTGAGTGCTGGGATTAAAGGCGTGCGCCACCATGCCCAGCTGATGGGCTGTTTCTTTCAGCTGTTGTTACTAATGCTGCTGTGAACATGGGGGGTGTATCTGAGTACCAGCTTCCCATCATTTGGGGAACAAAGCCAGGAATGAAAACGCTGGGCCATATAGTGACTCTGTAAATTGCCCCACAGTAATCTGTCCTGGACTGCTTGATCTCTATTGAGCTAGGCCAGCACTGAGACCCACAAAGCTGCTGTAGCCCCCAAACCAGCACGTAGCTTTGGGGGCTTCCACCAGGATTTTCCTTTCAAACCACAGGATGGCATTGCAGTTTGATTGACTGTAGTAAAAAGACTGGAAGCAGCTGGAGGGTGGGGAGGACTGAGGCATGATCACAGCAGAGAGTGTAGACTGGATTGTAGAATGCTGGTCCAACAGAACATTCCTGGTGAGAAATCAGTAACTGCTCAAACCACACAGTCCTGGGTGGAAAGCACCATGCAATGTGCTAAGGACTAATGTGACCAAGAGCCTGGGTGTTAAATCTTTCTTTTTAATTTATTTAACCTTTATTTTATATGCATTGGTGCTTTGCCATGGGTGTCAGGAATTGGAATTGGAATTATAGACAGTTGTGAGCTGCCATATGGGTGCTAGGAATTGAACCCAGGTCCTCTGAAAGAGCAGTTAGCACTCTTAGCCATCTCTCCAGCCCCCCTGGGTGTTATCTTGTCTGAATTTTGTTAGTCACTTGTAACCACCAGCTAGCATGGCTGTGGGAGAATATTAATGACTTGAAAAAATGATATCAGATCTGATAATCATGGGGAAAAAGAAAAATGATAATGAAATCAAATCATATGTATGTGATTTTCCAGTTTTCTTTAAAGAAGTTGCATAAACATGAACAAAATATTGGAAGGATAAGAATGTCAAAGTCTGTTCCTGTTATGTTGCTTGTTTCTATGTGCCTTCCTGTACTTTATAAAATGGAAACAAGTATGTTTCACTCAACATGTCTCATCGCAGCTAACCATCTACACAGTAAAAAAACACTTGTGCATGTGCGTAACCATCACACAGACGGAGAGGGGAGCAGGCCCAGCTCCCTGGAAGGCTGCTCTGGATTTATTTTTATTTCTTTATGAAGACAAAATACACAGGGCATAACCTCAGCCATGTGAAGTGAGCTCTCACAGTTGGTGTGTCCATGATGTACAGCCTCCATGGGAGCCTGAGTCCTTTGCCATGCTCCTTCCAAGCAGTGGGGCCCTCTTTGTGCCCATAGCTCCTGGCAAACACCCATCTGTAACAAATCTCTGGGATTTCCCTCCTTTGGTTTTTGGTTACTATTTTTTTTTTAGTTATTACTAGAGAAAGGCATACACACACACACACACACACACACACACAGAGAGAGAGAGAGAGAGAGAGAGAGAGAGAGAGAGAGAGAGAGAGAGAGAGAGAGAGAGAGAGAGAGAGAGAGAGAGTCAGTCCAAGGTAGCTTTAGCCTTGGATGAAGTATGTACTAATAGTACAGGCTGACTTTGCATTTGCTATCCTCCTGCCTCAGACTCCCAAGTGTTGGGATTACAGGGGTGTACCACCACCCTGGCTTGGTTTTCACTTTATATTCTGAACAGTGTTTGTATCTTCCCCCAACTGTCAGCTACAAGCTTTGTACGTGGGCTTCAGGCTGTAAGCTGCAGTTTCCAGGGTAGAAAGTCCTATGCTTCCTCTCTCCAGGCCTGGGAGCCTGGAGCCCTCTGCTGGCCACATGCACCTCCCACAGCCCTGGTCCCCTCTGCCTCCACAGACAGCTGATCACCATCCGTAATACCAATGGGCTGTCACGATTGAGGCCAGCCAGTGCCAACAGCTTCGAGTATCTGCAGCGGCAGCTAATGAGGTGAGGGCCATCCCCACCCATTATCCTCAGGGAGGCCCAAGACCCCTGCTAGCAGAGACTTTCCTTCCGTGCAAGAGCCAACCAGCCTGGGGTGCCCATCTGAGAGGCTGTGGTGGGACTGATAAGTACACAGAAGACAATGGAGGACAGGAACCAATGTTTGCATTGGTATCTACTGTGGGCTGGAACTTAGGTGGGTCTTGTAGGAGAGGCATATTATGCTAGCTACTCAGGAGACTGAGGCAAAAGGATCTTAAGGTCTTCCTAAGCTACAGAGTGAAACCTTGCCTCAAAATAAACAGAACAAAGGGGCCGGGGCTATAGCTCAGCGGCAGAGTGTTTGTCTAGCATGCAAAAGGCCCTGGGTTCAATCTCCAGCACTGCTGAATGGACAGGGGGAGGCTGGAAATGGGAGGACTTCTAGTTAAGTTGTGCAGTCTCTGGAATCTAGTATTAATATGCTTGTTTCCTGGTGGTTGGGTAATTGAGGATCCTCTGGGGCCCTTCCTGAGGCCTTGCTGGGTCATAAGGCTTCCTTTGGAAGTGTATTCCATTATCATCCCATTTCACAGTTGAAGAGACTAAGGCTCAGACTATGTAACCTGCCCAAGACCATGGCTAGTGAGTGGCTGGGGAGCCTTATCTTTTCTCCCTCAACCTAGCTGGCTACCTGGACCTCAGCTCCATTTCCCTCGTTCTTGAGTTTCAGGGGTCCTTCCAGAGCCCAACCTGTGTGAGCTTCTGGCCAACAGTGGAACAGGGATGGGGGAATGCACAGCTGTGTGCTAATCACCATCAGGGGAAGGATGAATAAGCTGTACCACCCACCTTCTTTGATACTGTCCAGGGCCTTGCGGCCTGTGCAGGCTCCTCCATGAGGGTCCTCCATGTGGCTGTGACACTTTACCCTGTCCAGGGAGCAACAGCATCGAGTGCATTTCCAGAACTTTGGAGCCCATGAGGAGGGTCTAGGCTCCCAGAAGGACTGGGGCGATGGACCCCGAAATGACACCACCTTCAAGCACAAGTCACATGACCTGTCAACAATCTACCCTTATGGGGATCCTGAGATAATGGACTATGACACTGTGAGTCTGGCTGTGCCCTGGCTCTGGGCATCTGTGTGCATTAAGAGAAAGGGGTAGCAATGGAGACCCTGACTCGGGACCTGGGTCATCCACAGGCCGAGGTGGACATCCTGGGAGTGAATGGGATCCTGTACAAAGGCCGAATGAACAACCAGTTTGGGACTCGGACTGGGGAGAAGGACCTGGCAGGTGAGGAATACTGGTTCCTGGGGTTCCTGCATTCCTGCTGAGGTCTGGTTCTGTTGGCAAGGACAGGGGTTAAGGGGTCTCAGGGCTGGGTGCTGCCCATGGCTAAGGAACCCTCACAGTCACCTCCAAGAGTAGGGTCCCCATTGTGTGCACCAGGCACCAGGAAATAGTGAGAAGCAAAAGTAATGAATGCCCCCCCAGGACCCCTGGGTGGGTGTGGCCTGTAGGCACATAAGAGAAGGTATGAATCCATGGTGACAGAGATAAACCCCTGAACCAGCCAGCCATGGAGGCATACGCCTTTTGTTGTCTAGTTTGTTTTGGTTTTTTGAGACAGGGTTTCTTTGTGCAGCCCTGGCTGTCCTGGAACTCACTCTGTAGACTAGGCTGGCCTCACAGTGGGTCTCTGAGTTCAAGACCAGCCTGGTCTACAGATCAGGTTTCAAGACAGCCTGGAATACACACACAAAATGAAAGAAAAGATCCAACTGAGCTGAAGCACTAGAGGTGCATCTTAGTGACAGTTTATAAATGCAGGGCCCTGGGGCTCTTTCCCTGTACTGGAAAACAAATGGATAGCTGAGCTGGAGCAAGACCCCAGCTGGACATTAGCAAAGGCTGCCCGGGAGGGAGGCTGGCTGGGGATGAGTGTCAGGCAAAGCTGGTCCTCCGGGGAGCGATTAGACAGCTCCTTGAACACCTTTGAAGAAGGTACAGGGTTAGTTGGTGAAGGGTGGAGAGGGAAACGTGTGGTCTGCGTGGAGGAGGGGCAGGTTCAAAGGCCCTGTGGTAGGCTGTGCAGAACTAGGGAGGATGAGTCTACCTGGAGCATAGAAGCCAGGGTAAGGGTTAAGAACCATGAATAGAGGCCAGGTGTTGGTGGAACAAACCTTTAATCTCAACACTCAGGAGGCAGAGGCAGGCAGATCTCTGTGAGTTCGAGGCCAGCCTGGTCTACAGAGTGAGTGCCAGGACAGTCTCCAAAACAATACAGAGAAACCCTGTCTCGAAAAACCAAAAAAAAAAAAATAATAAATTAAAAAACCATGAATAGAGCTGGACCCAGGAGGCCAAGGGTCAGAGCAGTGAGAGACCCCAATCCTTGTGCATTTTGAATTGGTTGCTGTGGTTATCCTGGTATCTGGGATCCCCGAGATTCTTGATTTTATCACTGGGTGTGTAATGAAATACAAAAATGGAGCTTCTCTGTACACCACTGGGATTTTTTCCTCTGGGAAGGTCATGTCTAAAGCTTGCCCCGTCCAGGAACTGTAGCACTCGCATAAGCAGTGACACAGGATGCCAGGGCATCTAATCCATAGGAATTTCATGGGCTGCCCATGGACCAGAGCACTGAGCCTGACATGCAAAGAAAAGGTGTCCAGACAGGGGACACACCCACAGCAGCTGCCAGAGTTCACCACCACACCCCAGGGCCCCAGAGTCACAGGGCAGTTTTCCCAGATCTGAAGTCCTAAGTCATAGTATAGGCAGAGTCTCTCCTGACCCCTGACAGCTCCTGTGGCGGATGGAACAGATGTCTTGCCAGGGCCAGATCACTACAGCTGCTGCGACTGCAGTCACCGCCTCCCCTCCAGTCCCTTCTCTTCTGATTCTCAAGAGGACACTTATCACTGAACTTCAGGCTTAGTGTAATATAGGACCATCCATTTCAAAGCCTGACATTACATCGCACAGATCTTTTGTTCTAATAAATCACATTTGTAAGTTCCACAGAATATACCTTTTAGGAGTCCATTATCAACTCACTCATAGACCCCGCCCTATCTCCAAGGGGACAGAATGCCATCTCCCATGCCCTTTGCCCAGGCAGGGCATGGCTGTTCAGCAACTCCAATGCAGATCTGATGGGAGGGGACTCAGCTGGGGCTAATGTTTGATGAGCCCTACCTTTGTGCCACGCCCACAGCAACCAGGTGAGGCGTTTCACAAGTGCACAGAGGAGATCCTTTTGGTATGAAGCAGTCTCAGGAGAGGAGACTGAACCAGTGGGGAGACAATCCCAGCTCCATCACTGTAGACCTTCTACGGTGGTTGAGGGAGGGGCTTTTCTCTCAGTGGGTAGGATCTTCCCAAGAACCACGTACTAAAGCCATGCTTGAGTTGTAACAAGCTCAACAGCTTTACCTTGCTTGGGTCTCACCAGAGTGAAAGTCTGGCCTGATGTAGGAGCCAGAACTCTGGATGGGCCCCAACTATTCAGATCTTTTCTCCTTAGCTGTGAAGGTTTCGTGTCCCTCAGTTCAAAATCCGAATGATCGAGTGCGCCCTGGATCCTTACTTACTCCAGGCTGCCCCCGTGAGTACCCACCTGGGTTCCAGTGATCTCCAGCTTCTACTGGTCCCTCCCCTTCCCCTCACCTTTAGCCTGGGCTTCACTCCCCCCATCTCTCCCATTCTTGTCTGCTCTGTTCACATTTGCTTTCTGGCCAGGAAAAATGGCCTTGGGGCCTCCAGCCATTCTGGGCTTCTGCATTCCCCTGAAGGGAAATTTCTTGGGCAGTACATGACCCAGAGGTCCCCTGGCTGCAGAGGTGGGACAAAGGAGGCCATTTACAGTCCTGAGCTTCTTGTCCAAGGCTGCCAGGAGGACTGGACCCTTGAGTCTCCCTGGTTCCTATCTCTGGACCTCAAGAGGACCTTAACCGTCACAGAGCAGTTCCTCTCTGCCTCTTCTGGTTCAGCAGTGTTACAAAGACAAAGTAGTTGAGGCTCAGTCCGGACACCTGAGCCGTGACTCCAAGCCCCCTGCCTCCAGGTGCACCAGTCTATTCTAGCACCCACCTTTGGAGTTATGTGTCTTAGTCACTCTTGAGGAAGTGCTGAGGACCAGGACCAGAGGAGCTGCTTGGCCAGCACTGCCATGGCTTACAGTGCACCTCTAGTCTCCGGCTTCTGTTCCCTGGGGGGGGGGCAATCAGGTCAGCAGCTTCCAGAAATGCTAGACACGAGTTCTCCTGCTTCATCTCCAGCCTTGGGCCCCCGCACCAGCTTCAGCTCTGCCACAACAGCGGCTCGGCCGCCATCCCTGCCACCAGTGCCGCAGCTACCACCACTGATGCCACCCTCAAGGGATCTGCAGGAGGCCCCTGGATCCACCAGGCACACGAAATCTCTGCGACTGGAGTCCCTAGCCAGCACACAGGTTGCGGAGGAGCACACCCACCCGTGAGACACAAGTCTGTGACCCAACTACCCTGGGGTCCCCTTCACTCTAAGGAAGAAACCTGGGGCCCTGGATCAGACCCAGAAAAGGGTGCAGGGACCCTGGATATAGGGGGAAGGGTCTGCATATGGGGTCCATGTTGACTCAGTGCTTAATTATGTATCTAAAGTACAAACCACAAAATCCTTGGCCAACATTTGCATGAATAACACAGCTTTTGAGTGAAGTTTTTTACAGAGCTAACTGAATTTCTTAAGCAATTCCCCAAACAGCACCAAGTGGTTTTAAAACAACGCTTTTGGGTTGGCGGAAGGCGTGCCTAGCTAGCACAAGCCTGAGTTTGAACCCCTAGCACCAATGCTGGTATGGTGCACACACTAACAATACGGCACTTTGGTTAAAATGGCAAGAGGACTCGGCCAAAGACACCCTAAACTACAGAGTGAGTTCACAGCCAGCCTGGAACTCATGAGACTCTGTGTCAAACAACAAAAACAAAAAACCCCTCTGGTTGGCATTTTGCTAAGTGTAATCAGGATTGGCTTCTGCCTCCTTGAATTTCTCATTGAGGCCAATAGTTCCCCATGGTAAGCAAATTTCACCATGCACTATTTTTATTTCCTGTAATCATTTCCTCCAGTGACCATTATCATGAGGTGAACTGTTTTTATTTGTGTGTGAGAGGGTGTATGGTAGTGTAAGCTCCTGTGTGCGCATGTGCAGAGGCCAGTAGAAGACACTGAGTATCCTGCTCTGCCACGCTCCACCTTAATACCTTGAGACAGGTTCTCATACTTATGCAGCAAGCATTCTTATTTGTTGAGTTATATCTTTAGCTCTATTTATTTTTGAGATAGGGTCTCATGTATCCTAGGCTGGCTTTGAATTCACTCTGTAGCTGAGGATGACCTTGACCTTCTGATAATTCAGTGTGTACCGCATGTTGGGATTACAGGCTGATGCTGCTGTACCCAGTTACTGCAGTGTTGGGGATCAAACCAAGAACTTTGGCATGTTTGGCATGCACTCTAGCAACTGAACTACATCTCCAGCCTTTGAATTAATTAACCATTTACTTTTTTTTTTTTTTTTTTTTTTTTTTTGGTTTTACGAGACAGGGTTTCTCTGTATTGTTTTGGAGGCTGTCGGTCCAGCCTGGCCTCGAACTCACAGAGATCCGCCTGCCTCTGCCTCCCGAGTGCTGGGATTAAAGGCATGCGCCACTACCACCCAGCTGTTTTTTTGTTTTTTTCCAAGACAGGTTTTCTCTGTGTAACAGCCCCAGCTGTCCTGGATCTTTGTAGACCAGGCTGGCCTTGAACTCAGAGAGATCTGCCTGCGTCTGACTCCCAAATGCTGGGGTTAAAGGCATGTACCACCACATCCACTTACTTTTACGTCTTAACTAACCCATAAGGAGACTGGTATGGCATGTTGGCTACCTCCAAGGCTGAAGTACTGCAAACGTATTCTAAGTCTAGCAGGTCCACAGCCCATGTACTTGATAGAACAATATACCCTGGGGTTCCATTTCCCTGTGGCAATTAGTGACTAGTCTTGGGGCATGAAGTGGAGGGCATGAGTGTAGCCACCTCCCCTGAACTCTCAAGCCAGGTATCCCTTCTATCCGTTTTTCTCTCTTCTAAGTCTCACTCCCTCATAGTCTTCTTGTCTCCTATCTCTCTACTGCTGAGAGTTCCACCCCACCTCACAGATACAACTTTCCTGAGCACAAGTTGGAGGGCATGGCTCCTGACCCACCTCAGAGGTCACTCAGTCTCTGGGCTGAGTGGGGAGCTGGGGCAAGCCGGGCAGTGGATAACTTTCTGGAGGAGGGGGGTTGGGGGAGGGGCTCTTGAAAGGAGAGCTCCAAATTCTGCCTAGGGTTGGTGTTGGAAGAAACCCCTGGTTTATGAGGCCATTGGTATGTAGGCCTTTCCCCCACACTCCTGGAGGCCTCTGGTCAATTCCAGTTTGTGGCCTGAGGCCACCCCCAGTCAACTCACCCTTTCTTTTTGCAAGTGTCCAAATGAGGCTGGGGCAGTCCTAACATAGGCAACTCGTTTCTCTACTCCTTCCAGGAGACAAACCACAGATAGGTATTTTGGCCATTTTCTGGCCAGAATAAAGTCTTTCTCTACCAGGCATTGGTAATTGCCTTTAATCCCAGCATTTGGGAGGCAGAGGCAGGCAGATCTTGGAGTTTGAGCCAGCCTGGTCTACAGAGTGAGTTCCAGCTAACAGTCAGAGCTGTTGGGGGGTGGGGGTGGGTGAAGAGAAAGACAAACTTAGTCCTTTTGGATCTTAGATGAGGAACTTGGCTTAGAGCCCTCTGTAGTCAGTGGCTTTGTCCACTTTCCACATGGGTGGGCCACTGGCTGAGATTCAGCTACCAGTGGCCCCGTCCAGAACACCCGAGGCCTGCAGCAATCACAAGCTGTCACCACCACAGCAGCGTGTCCCCTGAGCTGCTTCCACTGTGTAGCAGACAGATCATGCTACTCCACAGGCTCAGGGTAACACAGCTCTCTGATTCATCCAGAAGGCTGTACCCATTGGGAACTGTCCCCTTCCCCATTGCAGAAGGTTGTTTCTTGGAAAGTGGGGTCTGGGCTGTGCCTATGCATGTGTCCCTGACTTATGGACATCCAGGGACTTTCCCTGGTTCTCAAAGAGGGCACCACTTTGCCTTACAAACTTATGTCTAACCCCAGCTGGTCATCTCAAAGTGGCTTTTTGAGACTCTTCCACAGGTTTATGACCCTTAGTGGTCAGAACTTGAGCTGGTTCCTACTGCCCCCTGGAGTGAGGACAAGTCCTCAATTCTGCAGGTCAGTGTCTATTCTTTTACTTTGGAACATGTTATTGGGAACTCAACTTCAAAGACAGGCTTGGCCCTAGAGTGGAGGACCTGCAGGTTGGAGGCTGGGAATAGGTAGTTGCCAGGAATGTGGTTGACCCATCACAACAGGGGAAGGCATTCAGACAGCAGAATCCCATCTCAGGCCTGTCTCAGTCTTTTCTTCAACACGGAGCTCTTAAAACCTGGATTGGAAGTAGCTGCAAGACCAGACTGGATGCAGGGTGGGGTGAGGTGACCAACGGTCTTGGTTTGTCTAATTGGCATAGGGCATCTCAGGATGTCAGCCCTTGAGTTTTGAGATTAAGGTAAAAACCAGGGATGGTTGTGCACACCTGCAATACTAGCGCTCAGGAGGTAGAGGCAGGGATACTAGAAGGTCAAGGCCGTCCTCAGCTATACAGAGTTCAAGGCCAGCCTGGGCTACATAAAGCCCTGCTGTCTCAAAAAACAAAAAAGGGACTGGAGAAATGGCTTAGTGGTTAGGAGCACTGGCTGTTTCAGAGGATTTAGGTTTGATTCCCAGCACCCACATGGTGGCTCACAACCATCTGTAACTCCAGTTCTAGGGTATCTGAAGGCCTCTTCTGACCTCTAGGCTTACATGTAGTACACATATATACAAGCAGGCAAAATATGCAACCACATTAAAAAAAAATTTAGCCCGGCATTGCTGGCTTATATCTTTATTGCTAGCACTTGGGAGGCAAAGGCAGGCAGATCTCTGTGAGTTCGAGGCCAGCCTGGTCTACAGAGCAAGTTCCAGGACAGCCTCCAAGAAACCCTGTCTCAAAAAAACAAACAAAAACTTTAAACAGCAAAGGCTGAGGTGACTGGCATGGTGAGAGAGAGGGTGTGAAGCTACAGAGGGCCAGGCAGCACAGAAAGTGAGGTGTCTTCTGTAGAGAATAGGGTCTATCTGGATGTTCTGTTGAAGCAGGGCAGATGTTGCTCAGTGATCACCTTGTACCAGGAGACCAGCAGCACACTGCTGTGAGTGAATGGTCATGAATACTTTCTCTACATCAAAGATCACAAACTTATTAACCTAAGGTGTAAACTACTGACAATGTCAGGCAAATGTGTGTCCTGGGAAGAGCTTAAAGGCTAAGCTTAAGCTCTATGCTGGATGAAAAAGCCTTTCTGACCCTATTCCTAGCACACCACGCTGCCAGCTCTCCCAGTGACTCTTCAGCTCGCTTCCCCCCCCCCCCAGACAGGGTTTCTCTGTGTAGCTTTGGAGCAGATCCTGGCACTCACTCTGTAGACCAGGCTGGCCTCAAACTCAGAAATCCGCCTGCCTCTGCCTCCCAAGTGCTGGATTAAAGGCTCGCGCCAACGCCTGGCTCAGTTCACTTTTTTCTTTTTTTTTTGGTTTTGAGTCAGGGGGGTGTGCGTCACCACTGCCAGCTTGGTTGGGTTCACAATACCAGAGGTTTTCCTCTTCTTACCGACCTTGCCTTATTAGGTCTGTACAGAATGACTACAACAGGGCTTATGGGCCTGGCGAGTAGAGCAGGTCCCCAGGCATCTTGCGTGGGGTCGGACATGGCTTTGCCATCCTGAGCCAGCTCCATGGGTGCCCATCTCAAGAGGACTCAGCCCCACCTCCCCACGCCAAGAGCTGTTTTTAAGGTTCATTTGAGATACACATACACAGTACCTACAAAGGAATTGGAAATGCATTCCAGCAAAAGATCTTCATTTTAGTCAACCCAGGAGGCCTCCCCACACCAGGAGACCCCAGTCAAAAATCTCATCTGTCTGCTGGGCAGGGACTGTTGTTAAAAGCCCCTTAGAGACCTCTAGGGTCATAGCCAGCATTGGGGACAGTGTGGTTCTCTGGGTTGGTCGTGGTGTATACTCTGGCTGGGCCACTAGACAGACCCTGGGGACACTGAGCAGCCCTGGGTGTGGCCCCAATCTCAGACTCTCAGAGGAGAACAAGTGCTCTCTTCAAGGCTGTTGGAAGGTGCCCCGGCAGCTGCAGAGAGCAGTGTGAACTTGTGTTAACAGTCAGTGCCCTCTCCCATCTGTGCAGGCTTTTCCTTCTGCAATTACTCTGAAAAGCAAGGTCCTGCCAGAGGCTGGCTTATTTCAAGACAGCAGCTAGAAATACCACTGGTACCTGACATAGCCAATGAAATGGAGGGGACCAACCTGGCAGAAGTGGGTCAGGCTGCGTCCCTAGTGTGATGGCCAGTTCCCACCAATTGTGGCCTTGAGGTAATTTGGGTCACAAATTCCAGTTTTCCAAGGTAAGTCAGAAGTGAGGCCTTTTATAGTAAACCTTTTGGCTTTAAAATGCTGACCATAGTTAACAGGCAACAGTGTGAGTACATCGCACGGTATTAAGACCCAGATAACCGACCTCCAGTCTCACAGGAAGGGTACAACCTGTCAAAGCAGGGCTCTCATTTCTGTATGTCGAAATGCCCCCGGGATCATGTGCACAGCTCCAAACACACTCTTTAAAGCAACTTCATGAATGCAAATGGCTTTTTTTGTTTTTGTTTTTCAAGACAGGGTTTGGGTCTACAGAACTCAGGTTTGTAGACCAGGCTGGCCTCCGTCTACAGTGAGCCACCTGCCCCTGCCCCCGATTAGAGGCATGCACCACCACAGCCTGACCCACAAATGGCATTTTTAAAGAGTGGAATAGAACACCAGTCATTTGGGCAAGCAGGACATGATCAGCTCTAGCAGGGTGGTTTTTGCTGTTATTCTGAGACAGTCTCCTCTATCCCAGGCTTGCTGGAGATGACCTTCAACTTCTGATCCTGCTTACACATTCGAGTTGGGAGATTACAGGTGTTTGTGCAGCACCAGGCCTCATGTATGCCAGGCAAGCATAGCCCACACTGGTTTTCCTGTTGCTCAGGCGGCTCCGAGGAATTGCTTGAGGGAGCACTGCCAAGGATGGCTTACACTTTCACTGAACAGATCATTGCTGGTCTTCTGCCTCTCAACTTCCTGGTGTGGGTTCAGCTATAGGAAGATCCAGGGGTTTTATGTTACAAGATACCACCAGCCACATCTATCTGGCTCTCGGAAGTTAACTTGCCACTCTGAGTTGTTCAGACCACCCCAGACCAGCACTGGAAGTACACCAGCAGGGCTTGTGCTTCCACTGGGAGATGAGTTCCCAGGTCCCACCTGCAGGAGGGCTCCAGCATATAAATCCAAGTATCAGTCTAGAATCCTCATTCAGGGCAGTTGTAGGATGGCTAGCAAACATGGGTACAATAGCTCACATTTGTAATTTCTGCATTTGGTCGAGTTCAGGACTCTTCTGAGCCACAGTAAGACGCTGTCTCAAAACAAAACCACATGAAAGTTCTCAAAAAATTCAAGCACTCAAAATACCCTCATTCTTCAAGAAGTTTGGAGTCTGGTGGCTGTGTGCTCAGCTGTTTTATCAGAACCACTTGGTAGAGGAAGCTCCATATTTTTAGTAACAGCTTTGAAGTATAATTGGCCCACCAGAAAACTCACCTTTTCCAAGTGTAAATTGAATGGCTTTTAGAGTAGGCAGAGGGATCACTGATGTCTACCTACTATTCTCCCTAGCACCGACTGATGCAGATGCATTGGGAAAGCTAGGGATCATTTAGGCTAGGTGTGTGAACTATGTGATTAGCAGCAGCCATCCCCCCAGAGAGGACACCAGCAGTGTCTACACAGGGTTTTGGTCAACACAGTTGGGATGGGTACTACTTGACCTCGTGGGCAGGCTTCCAGAATGCTGGGCATCACACTCATATAGGACAGCTCTCACTGTGAGGATAGTCTCTCCAGATGCTAACAGTGCTGAGGCCAGAAAGTCCCTCTGCCTTAATGGGTGTAACCACTTGATAACCCCAGGCCCAACTCTAAGCAGCCTCCCAAAACAGCTAGGTCTATGTCAGCCTCAGTTTGTTTATCAGATAATTTTATGGGGTACTTTTTTTTTTTTTTTTGGTTTTTTTTGAGACAGGGTTTCTCTGTGGCTTTGGAGGCTGTCCTGGAACTCGCTTGGTAGTCCAGGCTGGTCTCGAACTCACAGAGATCCGCCTGCCTCTGCCTCCCGAATGCTGGGATTAAAGGCGTGTGCCACCAACGCCCGGCTATGGGGTACTTCTTAAAACTTCAGTGTCAGCTGGGTGGTGATCCCAGAACTCGGGAGGCGGAGGCGGAGGCGGAGGCAGAGGCAGAGGCAGAGGCAGAGGCAGAGGCAGAGGCAGGCAGATCTCTTGAGTTTGAGGCCAGCCTGGTCTACAGAGCAAGTTCCAAGATAGCCTCCAAAACAATACAGAGAAACCCTGTCTCGAAAAACCAAAAAAAAAAAAAAAAAAAAAAAACCCTTCAGTGTCAGTCAGGCGGTGGTAGCATGTACCTTGGAGGCAGAGGAAGGCAGATCTGTGAGTTTGAGACCAGCCTGGTCTACAGAGTGAGTTCCAGGACAGCCAGAGCTGCACAGTGAAAACCTGTCTTGAAGAGCAAAACCAAACCACCTCTCAGTGTCTATTTAGTAACATGGGCTCCTGTTAAACTCTGACTTGGGATGTGGGCTGGACGCTGAAGCCCTATGTATCAGACAAGTTCCAGGATGCTGCTGCTGTCCACTTTGCCATGAAACACTATTTTGAGCAGTGTGGGTATTGTCCTCCACAACAGACCACCCAGGGGCAGCTGAGCATTTAAAAACTGACACTTGCTGGGCACTTTTAATCCCAGCACTCAGGAGGCAGAGGCAGAGGCAGAGGCAGGCAGATCTCTGAGAGTTCAAGGCCAGCCTTGGTCTACACAGTAATTTCCAGGATAGCCAGGGCTATTACAGAGAAACCATGTCTAGAAAAACAAAACAAAACCCAATCAAAAAAACTGACACTAGATCATGGTGCATCATACATTGTCCACATAGTGGGTGACCCCAAAAGAGACCCTCTAGGAACCATTTCCTACCATCCCTGAGAGGAGGAGCTGCAGAGTAAGACTCAGGCCAAGCACACCTTCCTTCCCCTCCTGCCTCTACACAGGCATCCAGGTTGGTACAGGAGCCCCACCAAGTCCTATTGGTGGTTAGGCTAAGGGTCCAAGAAGAAAGATCCATGTGGAGCCCAGGCAGACAGGCATAAGCCCTGCTCAAAGCAGGACTGAGACCTACCCATTTCATCAGGAAAAGGGGTAAAGAAGTGAGATTCTGGGAATAAAGGCTAGGAAACTTAACAGGGATAGGCAAGAAGATTTCAGACCATGTAGACAGTACAGCAAGAGACAGTAGTGTGGAGCTAGTAGAGAACAGGGTGGCTCATGTTCAGCTCAGCCATTTCCTTCCAGAACCAGCCAGCAACGCCCAGGATGTATAAGGCAAGACTACAGAGCCTGGTGGTAGGTTGGAATTCTTTTCTCTTTTGTTAAAAGGGGGGTAGGAAATGGGGATCAGGTACCCCTGGGCTCTGGGGAAGAGGCATGCAGGAAACCCCAGCAGGCAGGCACTGGGGGATGTGTAGAAGAGTCCTGGAGCTTCCCATAATCCTTTGCAGGAAATAGCAATGCTGGCAGATAAGGAGGTGGAGTGAGGCAGGGCCCTTGGGAAGAGGGGGTGGTGGGCCAAGGGGCTTGGGGCTCACTCTAACATGCAAAGTCCAGCTGCCCCATAACTAAGTTGCTTTTGAAGAGCGACATATGTATAAATACAGACACAGCTACACGCACACATGCGGAGAAAGCTCTGCATTCCCGAGGGTGGGGATCTAGGCCTAGTAGGCCCCAAGACAGGAGTCAGACACATCTCTGCCACCAAGTAATTTCTGAAACACTCCAGGTGGTGGGGCCAGGCAGGTGAGTCTTCGTTGGGATGGCTGCTTGGTCTCCAAGGCGCTGCCCACCAGGCACCCAAGCCACTTTTGAGTCAAATCCATGCGAGCTGGGGGTGCCTGTGCTGTGAACTTGCGTGTGTGCAGCTGTGCATGCTGACACAAGACGGCCTGTCTAGAGTCCGGTCTCTCCCCTCCAGGGCTCTGGGGTGTGGGTGCAGATAGAGGAGGGATGAAGGGGCCCACAGAGACATCCTCTCCCCCACCCCACGGGGCCCTGGCCTCCGGGAGGGGGGGAGGGGCCTCCCTTATCTCTCTGCCTCCATGGCAGGGTGGGCCCTTGGTTCTGAGGTGGCCTGTTGGGGGGCCAGGGGAGGCCAGTCTGAAGCTGGGGAAGGGGGTGCCGGAGTCCACAGGGGCGGCTGCGGCTGGTGGTGCTGTGGGCCTCCTGGGGGTGAGGCTGCAGTTGGCCAGCTGGGTGTGGCGAAGCTGCCAGTGGCATGGGGGAAGTGCGGTGGGGGTGATGTGGCCGACGTGGCCATGGGGCTGCCGCTGCTGCCACCACCGTGGAAGCTTTCAGAGGCCTTGAGACGGGAGAACATGGTGAGGGCATCAGGGAAGTTGGGGGGCGTGGCAGGGGTGTTGGCGGGAGTGCACATCTGTGGGGGAAGAAAGGACAGATGGAGAACTCAGCATCCCTTTCTAATAGGGCCTTTGCTGCCTCAAAAAAGCAGGCACATATCTAGGAGTTATAGGGAGTCAATTGGGCTACATGTGGCCCCAGCTGGCCCACCCCCAGGGAAGAGATCACAGGAAAAGGCATCAAGACAGCTTGGTCTGGCTTCACGGAGGCCATACCACCTGGCACAAAGCCTCCTGCCTTAGGAGTGAGGCTTCCTAGCCCGTGGTCAGCATGGCAGCCCTGGCAGACTGCCTGGCGGGAGCTGAGCTCTAAGGACCAGTGTTCTTTGGGTACTGAGGGGCCCAGGCTGCCCACACTCCTGCAGACCTACCTCATACAAGAAGCCCGCCCCCACCCAGTGCACCACCCTCCTCCATCTCAGATTTCCCTAGGTGTAGCCAATAAGCTTGGCGTTCCCCTGCCCAGACTAGGAGTCGCCAGTGTTGTCACTTTTAGGTCTCTGGGGACACTTACCATTTGGTGGTGGTGGCTGTAGGGGATGTTGGTCTCCTGGAAAAAGGCGCTGAGGGCTGTCTGCAGGGAGAAAGACTGTGCTTACCCTCCAACCATCCCAGTGGGACAGGGTGAGTTAAAGTCCAGCAGTGTGCCTGTGACCACCACCTGAGGAGGTGGCATGGAACTCACAGCAGGTTGGATGGATAGTGAAGGCCCCATAACACTGTTTGTCACCAACCAGTCAGGTGCCTGTGGCTTACTGAACTCCTGCCCCCAACCCCTGGCATTGTGTGGGCTCTATCATGGCTTGGGTCTGTCACCTCAAGCAATGGATGGCAAATCCCCACACTTTGATGAGCCTTAGTATCCTCATATGTGAGTCAAGGACTCTTCTGTTTTTTAAAAAATGATTTCATTATTATTATTTTCTCTGTGTAGCTCTGGAGCCTGTCCTGGAACTCGCTCTGTAGACCACGCTGGCCTCAAACTCACAGAGATCCGCCTGCCTGTCTCCTGAGTGCTGGGATTAAAGGTGGCCACCACCACAACCTAGCTTAAATGATTTTATTTTATGTACACTGGTGTTTTGTCTGCATGTGTGTCTATCGGGTCCTCTGGAATTGGAGTTACAGAAAGTTATGAGCTGCCATGTGTTTGCTGGGAATTGAACCTGGGTCCTCTGGAAGGGCATCTAATGCTCTTAACTGCTGAACCATCTCTCCAGCCTGAGCCAGGACAGGGTTTCTTCGTGTAGCTTTGGAGCCTGTCCTGGAACTCGCTTTGTAGACCGCGCTGGCCTCAAACTCATAGAGATCTGTCTGCCTCTGTTTCCCAAGTGCTGGGATTAAAGGCAGGCACCACTATCACCTGGTGCCAGGGGACACTTAAAGAATTAGTCTTAGGCTACAGGGTAGAGACCTGCTTCTCAGTATAGCTTCCCTTTCTAAAGGGATGTCCCTAACATGGAAAACTAGAAAATGACCTAGAAACTGAACCCACCACAAAACTGAAGACAGCGCCCATGACAGTTTAAGGGACAATTCCCCAGCCACATGCTGTTGGCTGGTTCCAAGCTACAGTCTCTCCAAGCAGGGCTCTATCAAAATGAGAAGACTTTAGGCGGACACAGGGGCGCTCACCTCTAATCCCAGCAGTTAGGAGGCAGAGGCAGGCAGATCTCTGAGTTCAAAGCCATCCTGGTTTACAAAGTAAGCTTCAGGACAGCCAGGACCAGTGCACAAAGAAACCCTGTCTTAAAAACAAAAACAAAAAATAAATAGAATAAAAAACTAGGGACACATCATCAATCCCAGAGGCCAGAGCTGTTATCACCCATTTTACATACAGGAAAACTGAGGGTGAAGCAACTTTCTTAAAACCCTTGGCTAGCAGGAAGTAGGAATGTGATCAGAACCCTGGACTTAGACTCCAGACAAACTCTCAAGACTTGCCAAAGAGTGTGATAAAAGAGGGACCCAGGAGAGGGAGAACCGAGGGGCTCCAGGAAAACCAAAGGGTGGTGACTGTATTGACCATGTCCTGTCTCCTGCCCTTTCAGGAAAAGAGGAAACTGGTGGCTCTTGTGAAAGTGCTGGGTGAGGAAGGCTGTCAGTGGGTGAGGGGTCCTGAGGAGCCTGCCAAGTCCCAGCCTTGAAGCACTATTACTCCTCAGAAGAGTAGGCCAGGCCAAAGCCACAGGACTGTAGGCCCCTTACCTCCCCACCACACCCAGAAATCCAGTCTAGGCCTCCCAAGGCCTGCTCTTTCATTTTCTTCAAGTATATTCAAACGAACTACACCAACGTTCCCAAACATCGAGTAGGGATGAACCCGGTGACACAGCCCCAACGGCAGGGGCAGCTGCTCCCACACATGACATACCTGGTACTTTCTCCACTGAGAAACTTCTGCCCAGCTACACAAAGGTCCCCTTCTCCACAGCCTCTGCCTCCATTAGCAACTGAGTCTGAGAATGTGACCCAGAAACACTGCCTGGAGATTGCTGCCAATCACAAGGGAAGGAGAGGGCGGGCCACGAGGAACCCCTAACTCCGAGGCAGATGCCTTAGATGGCGGGGAGGGTCCACAGCTTACTCTTCATTTTGTATATGGTGACAGGGAGAGCATTCGCGCCAAGAGCAGAGGACCTACCCCGTGTCAGTAAGACTCCGTTTCCAGGCTGTAGGAAGCCCCAATCCTCATGGGGACACTTTTCCCTAATCTTTATAGCTATATTTTTCAGTCCATTCCTTCAAGCCTGAGGGACACACTGTCCCACACGGACAGGTTTCCCATGGGACACCTGCCCGCCCAGGCTCAGGCAAGGAGGGGCCCTGCAAGCACAGCCACTGGGCTCCAGCAACCGCCATGAATGTGGTTTTACAAGTTTTACCACATCCAGCCCCAGAGACAGGGCAGATTAGGATGGTGGCAGGGGTGGGGAGCAGGGCACTTCCCCGGGGTGAGGCTGCAGGGGGAGGGGAGAGAGGAAGACCATTCGGGTCTCAGAGGATGACTCAAACACTGCTACCCCCAGGGGTGTGGAAACTGAGGCTAGAGAATGAAGCCGGCACAGAGACAATGGCCTGAAAGTCTGGTAGGAAGGAGGTATAAGGCACGCAAAGGATTCGCTTACAGAGGTCGGAGGAAAGGCACGTTCTGATCCTACCCCTGCACCAGGAAGCTAGGCTTTAATCTGTTTCCTGGCTCTTCCCAGAGGCTTCTCTGGGATGGCTCCTATTGGGAAACCAGGTTTGGGGTTTCCAACTGGATACAGACTGGCTCTGGCTGTGACTTCACACCTGTGAGCGACACAGCTTCAGGCCCTCTGGCCTCATCTCTAGATACCAACAAGGAGTGAATCTGGGGGTTTGAGTTAGAGGATGAGAGGCATCTCAGTAACGCAAAACTGGACACACTACTCCTTTACAGACCAAGAGAAACCTGGGAGTAGCTGGGAGCCAGACTGGCATTACCCACTCCTGTCTAGAATGCCCTAAAACGAATGAACCACATGCAGTACAGGTTTCTCTGTCTGGCCCAAGGACACTCAGCATCTCTCCCCAGTTACACATCCTAACAATTCAGCTTGAGAATCCTGCACAGCACCCATACACTCTATGTCGTCTGTGTACACACACCGAACCATACCCAGCATGGCTACCACCCTCCAGCAGTCACCTATGCACACGCTGCACAAACACCAAACACGACACACGGTATCCCTACATCAGACTCGCTCTCGGGCCGGTCTGTGCGTCCACACACGAGCCCACATGCCCACAACCTTCGATGTGCCCTGCTGACGCCCAAGCGCGGTGCGTGCGTAAATACAAATGCACATGTACGTGTGCGCACACGCCGCAAGCCGCCCACTGGGCACACCGACCTAGGGACCGCTCTCTCGGAGCAACTCCGCCTCCGGCGCGGCCCTGGGCGTCTTCCAGGCGGCCGTCTGTTTCGCCCTAGGCCGTTACCGGGACAAAGGGGGGGAGGGTGTCCCTGTTCGGATCGCCGGGTCCCCGGAGAAGCCCGGTTTCCGGGGCTCGGGCCTGGCCGCCGGCGAAGCCCGCAGTCCGCACCCCGGCACGTGTCCACGCCGCCCGCACCCGGCCCCGGCCCCCCTACGCACCTCGAACTGCCAGTGGGCCGCCTGCAGCAGCTGCTTCGCCTGGTCGGCCGCACAGCCAGCCGTCAGCACGAACTGGTTGATCATCACCTGGTGTTTGAGCTCGTCCATGTTCACGGACATGGCGCCGCCGCGCAGCCCGCTCCGGCCTCCCTGCGCGCTCGCGCCTCGCCTCACGCGTCCACCATTAGCGAGCCGGCCCCGGCTAATACAAATATTTACTGTGCGCTCTGACTCACCGCGCCTCGCTGCCCGGCGGCCGGCGGAGCATGCTGGGATGTGTAGTCCGCGACGCCCCCGCCGAACGGACCGGGGAGGAGAAGGGACGCCCTTCCTCTAGCGGATCTCAGCGGGGCGCGCAGATCCTGCCACGGGCCGGGATGCCAAGTCTGGGGCCGGGCCGTAATACAAGCTTGTCACGTCACGGGGCCCCAGAGGTCCTGCAGCCTGCTGGGCTTAGCATCAGTGTTAGGAGGCACTGTCTTAGGGAACTCTCCGAAAGCTCTGGCCCAACTCCACGGCTCTAGGCTGCAAGGCTCCGAAAGTCCTGAGACTCAGAAGACGTTCGGTGAAGCACAGCATCTGCCTTTCAAGGCGCTGCTGGAAGTCACCACCTCCAGGAAGCCTTCCGGCGCTCGTAAGGCATCCTTGCCTGACTCTCGGGCTGCCCCGCAGCAGGAGCGTCTACAGAAAAGGACATCCCCTGTGAAACTCTGGCCAGACCAGTGGACTCTGGAGCCTTGGAGTCCCTTTCCCTTCGGTTCCTACTTTCTCACGAAAAAAAATAAAATAACCCCCCCCAGAATCTAGCGGGCGCCAGGACCACGCAGAGCCCTTAGTACGAGCGCGGCCAAGAACTGCCATTCCCAGAATGCCCCGGTTTATTTGCATCGTTCTGTCTCGGGTGACGTCACCTGAGTGAGGCCGCGACGGTACCAATGGGCCGCCACGGGGTGTTAGGACCTGGCCATATAAGGTAAACAAAGCTGGCCGTCCAATGAAGCTGCGGCGGGGGCGGGCGCGTCACGTGGCGTGGAGGCGGGGTCGGGAGCGGAGGGGTGGGGTGGGTGTTGCAAGCTGTGTTTACAGCTCCGCACATGCCGCTTCCGGTTGGTTTTGCGGGTGGGAGAGTGGCGGGCCGGAAGCGGAAGAGTCACCCGGAGGCTGGGGGCGAGAGCTGGCGTTGTTCGCCCAGCTGAGTGACGCTGGCTGAGTTCTTTGCTCTCCCTGGCCTGTGTGGCTCCTTTGAACTGTCCCCCTGCCGCAGTACAGTCAGCCGGGGTGAGGGCGTTAGGTCAGAAGCCCGTGAACAAATGCGGCATTCATAATACCGACCCTGTCCCAAGGAAGTAAACACAGGCCCTGGGAGCAGACGACGGGCTGCTGGGGCCTCTTAATACACCGGATCCCTTGTTTTCTACTAGAACCGCTGTGGCCGTCTAGGAGTGGAGCCCAGATGGTAGCTGGGGAAGTTGATGAGCTCCTCACTCCTGCAGGAAGGTGGGAGGCAGATGGGCGGGGACTGAAAGGTGCCTAGGCAGGACGGTATGGAAGAAAGGGAGTCAGGCGGCTGGGGGATTCTGGCAGTTAGAGCTGGGGGTTTAGCTTATGGGTGGGTGCGGACAGGTGAGTCTCCCTTTCTTAGACTCCCACCACCCACAGGAAGTAGAATCTGGACCTCTTTGGGGCGTCGTTCGGCAGTGTTCTTTACAAAGCAAAAGTACCAGAATATTTTTGTGCTTTCTGAGCACATGCCTTCATCTCTAGGAAGCATCATACATGTGCATTATTGTAGGCAGAGCCAGCATACGGGAAGGCATACAATAAGAGGCAGCGCTGCTTTCTTTGTTGCCATGGAGACTGCATCAAAGCCTGAAGGAAGGTGGGCAGGTTGGTAGCTAGACAGACCTGGATGGCATTTTTGACTGCTGTTTCCTCAAGTTCCTCTCCTGTGTGGGAGCTCTCCTAGCTGTGGTGTGTGGGATGGACGATTATAATGGGCCGGCAAAGGGCCTGGTACTTCGTGTGCCAGATCCAGCCCACATCCCTTTTCGAGTGCCGCGTTGGCCCCTTTGAAATGGACAGTCCCATTTTCATAGATAAGCAAGCTTAAGGTATATTTCAGCCTTACACTGGTGATATTTAGAGCGAGACGGAAAGAGCAGCATCCATTGGGCCAGGAGTATCTGTCTGGCAAAGGAAGCTGAGTATTGTGTTGGGGGATCTGTTTTGTTCAGGATGTCATGCACGTGGGCACGCGCACACACACAGCTACCTACCGTATCTAGGCACCTCAGTGACTTGATCAGCGCAGACACACACACGTGCCTACTCTGTGTAGGCACCTCAGTGACTTGTAGAAAGAACTACCCCACATAGGCCTTGCACTTGCAGAACAGACAGGGCTGACAAGGGGAAGGTCACCCTGCTCCCGAGTTTTCCTGCTAGCTTGTTTTTTCCCAGGGGTGGCAGGGAAAGAAAGCAACATTGTTTTCAGCAAGCATTCACCTGTCTGAAGGGTGGACTTGGGATTTTTTTTTTTTTTTTTTAGCAGATTGGGATACGACCTGAGAGCAGGGCCAGAAGTGTTTGTGTGGGAGAATAGGGCATTTCCAGTACCTGCCTGAGGACCAGTTAAGTTGAGAACCTTCTCAGTTCACAGAGCTAGCCAGTAGAGGGTGTGTTGCTTCCTCACTAGTCCACAGGCTTCTGTACTCTGCCATTTGATCTGTGTTGCCTGACTCATCACCTGGCATGTAGTAGCTGCATGCTAAATATTTGTTGAATACAATTAGTCATTTAAGATGTTGATAGCGGAACTTATTTCCAAGCAGCATGCGGATAAAAAACTGCCTGGTCTACAAGAGCTAGTTCCAGGACAGTCTCCAAAGCCACAGAGAAACCCTGTCTCAAAAAACAAAACAAAACAAAACAAAAATGTGTTGGGGCTGGAGAGGTGGCTCAGAGGTTAAGAGCACTGACTGCTCTTCCAGGGGTCCTGAGTTCAATTCCCAGCAACCACCTAGTGGCTCACAACCATCTGCAATTCAATCTGGTGTCCTCTTCTGGCATGTATATGTAATAAATAAATAAATCTTTAAAAAAACAAGATTAGCCAGAAGGAACTCTTCTTTTTGATTTTGGAGAAAACTATACCAGTTTGTCTGTCTTAAGCTCACTGGTCTACGAGCTCAAGATATTTGAAGTAGAAAGAGTGCACTCCCCCTCACAGTCTCAGGGAATGGTCCACTGTGCTGGACAAGTCAAGGGTGGAGCTTGAAGCAGCTGGTCACATCGTATCCACGTCCAGAAAACAGGATCGGGACTCACTTTACCTCCATTTCCTTTCATAGTTATTTATTGTGTGCTTGTGTGGGTGTGTGAATGACGTGTAAGTGTGGAGCTCATAGAAAAAGTTCTTGCCTTCGACCATATGGAGTCTAGGGATCAAACTCAGGCCCTGTGGAAAGTCCCTTTACCTGTGGACATGTCTCAATGATCCAGCCTCCTCTATTTTATACAGTCTGGAATCCCATTATTAACATCTTCAATGATTAATAGTTTAGAAATGCTGTATTAAGATGTGTCTTTGCCTGGCGGTTGTGGCACACACCTTTAATCCCAGCACTTGAGTGTACTGTGGGCTTCAGAGACCGCGCCACACAGCGGCCACCTGCCACCGGCTGCCTCCACCCAGGATCAAGGAGACAGGTGAGCATCTCTTTTACCTCCCCCATTTTGCTAGCCCCGGGAGACTTTCACTGCTTCCCAAGCACTATGCTTCCTGACCCCAGACAACTGGGGAGACACCACAGCAGCTCTCCCGGCATTCAAGTCGGAGGAGGTGGGGTGGGGTGGGGTGTGTGGGACCTGGTGCCACACCTGCAGGCAGACTGGGGAGGTTCCAGAGGGGAGGCCAGATGGACAGGGACCTGCAGGGGTCACAGGACCCTCGACTCCAATAAAGAATGGACTTGTTTCAAAAAAAAATCCCAGCACTAGGGAGGCACAGGCAGGCAGATCTCTGTGAGTTCGAGGCCAGCCTGGTCTACAAAGCAAGTTCCAGGACAACCTCCAAAGCAATATAGAGAAACCCTGTCTCGAAAAACAAAACAAACAAACAAAAAAGATGTATCTCCCTACATGGATACAATGAAGACAATCCCCCACAAACATCCAGGGGACCACCTTCCAGGTGACTGGAAATTCTGTTAGACTGACAATACTAGCCATCATACCATATATCTGCTGTACAATTGGAGTAGGGGTACTTTACTTGGGTGAGCCTTCTTTTTTCCTCTTCAGTAAATTGGGAATGAAAATAGAATTTTGGGGCTGGAGAGATGGCTCAGAGGGTAAGAGCACTAACTGCTCTTCCAGGGTTCCTAAGTTCAATTCCCAGCAACCACATGGTGGCTCACAACCATCTGGTGTCCTCTTCTGTCCTGTAGGCTGAACTCTGTATATGTAACAAATAAATAAATCTAAAAAAAAGAAAATGTGTGCTTAATTTAAAAAACAAAAAACAAAACAAACAAACAAAAGAAAATAGAACTTAATGCCAGAGAACTAAGTGGGAAAAATAAAAATGTTTGGTTCTGGAGTTGGGTGTGGTTGTGCATATTTATACTCCCAACACTTAGAATCATGAATTGGAGACCAGCCTTAGCTACAGATAGGCGTTATCTGAAAAAAAAAAAAGTGGTTAGCCAATGTAGGTTTTTTTGTTTTGTTTTGTTTTGTGTTGAGTCAGGGTTTCACTGTGTAGCTTTGTGGACCAGGCTGGCCTTGAATTCACAGAGTTCTGCCTACCTCTGAGGCCTCTTGAGTGCTGGGCTTAAAAGTATGCTCCACCAACACCCAGTCTGCCAATGTAGATCTTATAGGGTATGAAATGTTCTCAGCTTACATCGAATACCTGCATTCTCTTCGTTATCATATATGGGTCACTTCATTTCAGCTTTCAAGATTCCTGGTGAAATTGAAATCCCAAGTGATTGAGATATCCTGATGCAGTTGCAAATGCTAGCACAGTAACCCAAGTCGTTTGTGGATTCACATCCTCCCATGGATTGATGGGAAGCCTGTCAAGAGTGTGTGGCTACGTAGCTTTGTGGTGGCTATCCCACTTGAGCCAAGCAGTCATGGTTCCTCTGCAGTTTAAGCTGGTTGCAGTAGGTGCTATGGTCACAGAGAAGGTGGTGGAATGCCGAGGAGCTATCTGTGTTGTTTCCAGTGACTGCCTTCCATGCAGTCAGTGAGGCAGATGTATTGAGATTGCATCCTTGGTGCAACTGGATAATCAGGGCCTAGTTTCAATTAGTCTAGACACATCTCCATTGTAGTCATCAGTGCGCTTTAAGCCTTGTGATTCTAAATGTGTTTACAAAGCGATTATGATTTTCATTCTCAGCTGGTTGGTCAGCAGTGCTAATTTGCTAGTGTAGTGTTGAGTTTGAAGAAATTTGGAGATCTCTCACACAATGTGAAGTTGGGGTTTAAATGAGTCCACGAGACCCAAGATAAATGATAATTAGGTATTTATTAGGGAAGCACTTACACAGCTAAGAGGAAATAACCACCGCGGTCTTCCTGCTCCAGAAGATACAGTCTCTGCCCTTCTGATGCTCTCCAGAACCCAAGAGAGCCAGAGCCAGCCCCTCCTCTACCTTATAAGGGGTCACATCTGAACCTGAAACCACACCCAAACGGTGTGGCCGCCACCACAAGCTCCCAGGCAAAGCATGGAGCAGCATTAGCCAAAGGATAACCAAAAGTTTCACTCTTTGAGGATGGAGAAGGTTGCTGGGGTGGGAGACACAGTAAAGGTGGATGGTGGAGCCCGCTCCTTGAAGGGACAAAGGCAGTCCACCAGACAGGTTCAGTTAGCCCCTGGAGCTTTCGTTCCCATGTAAGAAGAGAGAGAGTTTCCCAGCCAGGAAATGTAGTTTCTTAGGATGCTCGTTCATGCGTCTCAGTTGAACTTTGGAGGACCCTCTTGTGTCCTGGAGATTCTTTGCTAGCCTCAACAACATGGTCAGGGAAGTCTTGTCTCTAGGGAATGGCAACCTTGGGCATGCCCTCCCATTGGACTGCCTCTCCCTCCATCTGCACTGGTCTCAGGGTTAGCTCTTCATCATTTGGATATGTTTATGACTCCATCATCCAGCCATTTCGATCACCTCCTCACCCGATCTCAGCCTTTTTTTTTTTTTTGGTTTTTACGAGACAGGGTTTCTCTGTTTTGGAGGCTGTCGGTCCAGCCTGGCCTCGAACTCACAGAGATCCGCCTGCCTCTGCCTCCCGAGTGCTGGGATTAAAGGCGTGGGGCACCAACGCCCGGCTGATCTCAGCCTTGCTACTTTGGGTATCTGAGTGCTTTTGCCGCTTGCCTCCACTCACCTCTTGTCTCTCAGCCTTCACTCTGCGATTTTGAAGGAGGTCATCAAGTCCTGTGCAGTTGACCTTATCTGGAAGGGCTCAGACTTTGCATTCAGGTGTAGTGTATTTTAGTGTGGACTATGGTGAATTTACCATCTGACACTTTACTTGCTGCTGATAGATATTCCTAGCCTCTGTAGTACAGCAGGTTCAAGTTGGGAAGCGCGTCTAAGAAACTCAGCACCTTATCTGAAAATCATAAAAACCAGATTTTTTTTTTGGCAGCTTTACAGAAGTGTGTGTGAGAGTCAAAAACCAGGGTATAACTTGTATGTTGTAATGTTGCAGTCGGTATCCTGATTCTTCTGAATTTGTTTTATTTGCGGTCGGCTCTGCTTTGGGCCTCAGTTTCCCTAGGTGTAAAATGAGAAGTCTGTCTTCTGTGGGTGCTGTAAAATTACGTATCCACTGTAAATCTATTGACAGAGATGTTCTGGATCCTCTCTGAGCCTGGGGGCCACCCACTTTCCAGGTAGGTAAAAGGTGTTTGTTCCCTTTTCGGCTGAGGACGGAAGAAGAGTTTCGGGAAGTGGGGAGAGCCACTGTGGCATGTGGAGGTTTTCAGACTGGGTTCATGTGGGAGGCGCTGGAGCTTCCGCAAGTGTCTGAGTGTGGACAGAAAATGAAGCGACTGAGGCATTCGTGGTCAACACCGAGCTTGGCCGCAGAGGTTAGCGTCGTCTGACGGCGGTACCCCCTTCGCAGCCTGGGCTTCTTGGTTCGCCCCGCCGTGGCCGCTCACGTGAGGGGCAGCCTGGGAAAGGTAGTGCGCAGGCGCTCCGTGGTCCAGCGCGGCGGGGGCCGGAGCGGACTCCATTTCCCCTGGAGCTGCGGGCCGGGCCGGGGCGGGGCGCCAGGCCAGGGCAGCCGGGGGCGGGGGCTGTGGGGAGGTGCGGCCCGGACGGTGGACGCGCGTCTGTGCGGCCTGCTCTGGGCCATGTCCGTGTGAGGACGCCGCTGCCGTCACCCCCTCCTCTCGGGCCGGCCAGCCGAAACGCGCACCATGGGCTCCATCCTGAGTCGCCGCATCGCGGGCGTGGAGGACATCGACATTCAGGCCAACTCGGCCTACCGCTATCCCCCGAAGTCGGGTGAGTTTACGGGGGCGCGGAGCGCGGGCTGGGGACACCTGGAAGCTTGGGGACCTGACGAGCGAGCGCCCTGTTCTGCGCCGGACCGTCCTCCTGTTCCCCTTCCCGGTACCTGTGGAGTCTGAGGCGTGGCTGCGGCCCTGGCTGTCCCTACTGGCAGCTGTCGCACCCTGTGCGGCCCCTTCCTAACTGGTGACCTTGGGCCAGCCACTTTGCACAGCCTCTGTATGCACCCTGGCTTGGCATCTCTGGGATCAGTGTGCGTTTTGGTGAGGACTGCCTCATCCCCGGGGGTCGCCGACTCCTGACAACTCTTTCGGATTTGGACCCAGGCGTTTCCTTCTATCCTGTGGTGATGGACACTGGTATTTGACCCAGGGAGATGATCGACAGGGAGCTACTGGAGTTCCCCTCGAAAACAGGATAATAGTTGGAATGGTTGGAGAGGACTACCGTACCCTTCCTTCCCTCTTGTGCAGGGTAGACACACTGGTAGGTTGTGTGTGCGAGCTGGAGGAAGAGTAGGGACCAGCATTAGATGTGGGCTCCCAGAGGAGTCTTGCTCTTATCGTTTCCGCTTGTGGGTTTTTTGTTTTTTTAAATAAGGACAGATCGTCTTATGTAGCCCAGGCTGGCTCAAACTCCTTATATAGCTGAGGGTGACATTGAACCCTCCTGCCTCTAATCTAGTGCTGGGATTGCAGGTGTGTGCCACTTGGCTAAGTTTTATGAGGTGCTGGAAACTTGAACTAGACTTAACCAGTGCGTGCTAGTCAAGCACTCTATTAACTTAATCATATTCGTAGACCTGTGAGGCCCCCTCCCCCCCTTTTTTTTAAAGACAGAAACCCTGTTATATAGCTATGGCTGACCTGGTGCTCACTGTGTAGCTAATTTCAAACTCAAGGTGGTTCTCCAGCCTTAGGCCTCTAGTGCTGAGATTACAGGTGCCCCCCCCCAATGGATGAGTGTGGCTGGACAACCTTTAGCTACATTTATTTCTGTACAGTTTCCTGGTTGGGTAGAACACTGGACATATCACTGGACATCCAAATGGGCCTTTAGGTTTAGTCTTCTGAGTGTCCAGTGTGAAGTTTGCTCTTCAGATGTTTTCAAACAAACCAGGCCAGATTTCAGTCCCAAAAGTATCTGCTTCCTTAGTTGGACAGCTTGCTAAACGTTACAGGCCATACTTCAAGACTTGTTTTGGCCCAGAGACATGTATTTTAAGTCCATTTTCTCTGTTATCTCTGATATCCACTCAAGTCTGAGAAATTATTCTGTTCATGTAAGGGTCTGGGAACTGCCAGGATGAAAGAAAAGTTGCAAAGACAGAAAACCAAACTCTGATTATGCTAAGACTGACTACAAACAGGTACAAAGTAACTTTAGGAAGAGAAAGGTCACATTTGATTGGGATGGTTGCACAATTCTACCCATTTACTAAAAATCCATTCATGTTTACAATGGATCAGTTATATGGTACGCAAATTATATCTCAATAAAGCTGTTGAGGGTAAAATAAATAGGATGGAAGCAAAGCAGATATCCAAGCTCAGCATTGTTGACAGCACATGAAAATTCCCTAAGGAAGAAAACAACCTCATGAGATGTTAATTACTTGGTGAGTTAGAGAGATAACTTAGCAGTTAGGGGTACTTGTTGCTCTTCCAGAGGACCTGGGTTCAATTCCCAGCACCACATGGTGGTTTTACTCCAGTTCTAAGAGATCCACCACTCTCTTCTAGCCTCTTCAAACACCAAACATTCACATGGTGCACACATATACATGCAGACAAAACATTCACATATAAAATAAAAAATGAATACATCTAATAAAAAATTTCAATTGCTTGGGCTCTAATGATGGCTCAGCAGTTAAGAATACTTGTTGCACCTTTAATCCCAGCACTCAGAAGGCAGAGGCAGGCGGATCTCTGTGAGTATGAAGTCAGATTGGTCTCAGAGTGAGCTCCAGGACAGTCAGGGTTACACAGAGAAACCAGAGGTGGTCCAAGTTCAGTTACAAGCACCAACATAGTAATGGCAACTGTCTATCCATAGGAGCCAATGCCCTCCTCTGGCCTCCACAGGCCCTGCATACACTTGGCACACAGACACACATAAAACAAAAATGATACTTTTTTGAGACAGGATCTCACCATGTATCCCTGGCTGGCCTGGAACTTACTATATAGATCAGGTTGGCCTGGTTTACACAGAGATCCTCTCTTTATTTTGGGGGTGGCAGTAGGTTTGTGTATGTCATATGCATTCTTTTTTTTTTTTTGGTTTTTACGAGACAGGGTTTCTCTGTATTGTTTTGGAGGCTATCGGTCCAGCCCGGCCTCGAACTCACAGAGATCCGACTGCCTCTGCCTCCCGAGTGCTGGGATTAAAGGCGTGCGCCACCGCTGCCCGGCCCTGTCATATGCATTCTTATAAGTGTATGTGGGGGTTTCTGTTCTTGTCTTCCTTGTTCTCTGCCTTGTGTATTGAAGCTGAATCTCTCACTTGAACCTAGACTATTCTAGCTATTCAACTTGCTCTGGGTATACCCTAATTCTGCCTCCTGAAATTGGAATTACAGGGGGCCACTATACTCACCCAGAATTTACGTGGACACTGGGAGCCAAACTCTGGTCTTCACATTTGCCATGCAAACCCTTGACCCACTGAGTCATTTCCCCAGTCCTCTCCTAATTTTTTTCTAGTTTAAGTGTAACATCAGAGCATAACATGTTGGAGTTGGTTCTTTTTTTTTTTTTTTTTTGGAGTTGGTTCTTAACACTACATGGGTCCTAGGGCTTGAACACAGGTCATCAAACATAGCAGCAAGTTGAGCCATGCTGCCGTGTCTTCAGTACATGTGAAGACAGTGCTCTTTCCATCAGAGTGCCTCTGCATCTTTGCCAAAATTCAGCTTACCGTAAATGTGAGAGCGTTTATTTCTGAACAACATTCTCTCCCTTTGCTTTGTAATTCCCAGTGTTTCTCAACTGAGACAATTTTGTCACCCCACCCCCACCCCCTACACACACACACACACACACACACACACACACACACACACACACACACACTTTTCCATCCTGGGGCTTGCATTTGGCAGTGCCTAGAGATAGTTTGTCACAGCTCAGGGTGTGTGTGTTACTGGTATCTAGTGGGTATAGACCACAGGGCAGTCTTTAGGACAAAGAATTGGGGGGGGGGTCCAAATTGCCCACAGTGCTAAGGCTGGGAAAGCCTGGTCTGCTTAATGCCAGTAGCAGCACATGGCTGATTAATGGAGGCCAGATAGAAGCAAAAGTTTTCCATAGTGGTTCTTTCTAAAAATAACTTGGGGTCCTTTTTATGTCCATTAAATTGTATAGTTTTTCAGTTTCTACAAAAGCAGTTGAATTTGGGTAGAGATTGTGCATGTGTTTCTGGAGAAGGGCCATCCTTATGCTGATTGCTTATACCTGTGAGCATACCTACTAAATCATCTCTTTTGTATGTGTGTAATTATATTTTACCCTTTAGATAGGCCTCAAATTTATTATCATCCTGCCTTAGCCTTCTAGGGCTATAGATATGTGCTGCTATGTCTGGCTTTACATCTATTTAAATCTTTAAAAATCTTCTTAGCTGAGGCCAGGTATAGTAATCTATGCCTATAATCCCAGCACTCTGGAGGTGGAGGCAGGAGGTTTGCCACAAGTTTGAGGCCAGCCTGGGTTACACAGTGAGTTTGAGACTCGCTTGGGTTATATGGTAAGACCCTGTCTCCCCTCCCACTCCCTGAAAAATCTTACCATTTTGTACTTTTTTAAAAGGCAGTCTTAAAAGGAAGTGATAATTGTTTCTCTGGTCCAGGGATGATAAAAAGCCACTTTGTTTACAAGCTAATTTTAAATGAAAATACCAGTTATAACTAAGTACTTAAATAATAATACAATTTTGCAGCTTGAGGAGCACTGTTCTTGTCACATGGCCACAATTGTTTGAGAACACTAAGGCATAGAAATGGATGAACTGACGGTAGGCCCAGCCCTGCTTATGCCTGTTTACCCCATTTCCTGTGTTACTATTGCTGTGAAGAAACACCGTTGGGGAGGAGGGAGATTACTCTGCTTACACTTCCACATCATAGTCTACCATTGAAGGACGTCAGGACAGGAACTCAGACAGAGCAGGAACCTAGAGGCAGGACCTGATGCAGAGGCCATGGAGGATGCTGCTTACTGGTTTGCTCCTCATGGCTTGCTCAGCCTGCTTTCCTTTAGAACCCAGGACCACCAGCCCTGATGGTACCACCTGCAGTGGGCTGGGCCCTCCTTCATCAGTCACAATTATGAAAATGCCCTACAGGCTTGTCTACAACCTGGTCTTGTGGAGGCATTTTCTTAATTTAGGTTCTCTTCTCTTAGATGATTTAGCTTGTGTCAAGTTGACCAAAAACTAGCCAGTACAGCCAGCTTGTAAGGGATTTGGTAGCTAGCCACAACACACTAGCCTTAGGCACTGCAGCTCTTTTTGGCAGGTTCCCTCTGATTTGGCATTTTTGTCTAGAGTGACCAAGCCAGGTTTGCAGATCTGTGATCTTCCTGAAGAGTCCTGTGAGCCCTTTCTGATATGGGGTGGAGAGGGCAGGGTGACACAACAGCCTTGCCTTGTGTCCCTGGGGATTCTGTCTCAGCAAGGGAGTCAGACAGGAACTCAGCTGAGGGTTCCCAAGTCTGGGAATCTTTGTGCTGAAATGGAAAGTATGGGGTCCTTGGGACCCAGAGTTCTGCTTCTAACACAGATTTCCCCCTGGCTTCTGGAAACCCAGTGTGGTAACAGCAGCTGTGAAAACTCCTCCGAGTTCATGTGCCTGCCTATTTGGAGCCTCACAGCAGCTTGCTGGTCAAACCCTGCTTCCCCCTGGCCAATGCAGAGGCACAGCCCTTGTTTCCTCACACACCTAAATGACTGGCATGTAGAGCTGTCTGCCTTGCCCTACTATTTGACGACAC